TTAGGTTTAAAGAAAATAAATTACTAATACTACTATAATATAATAAATAACGTAAAAAAGTAGAATATATTTGCATTAATAAAATTATAATATAATTTAAGGATAAGCTAGTAGTACTTAATAATATACTAAGTAAAGTATAAGAAAAAGAGGAATTAAGAAAACTTAATAATACCTTTGCTAAAATACCTTACTAATATAAGAAGTTTTAAAAACTATATAAGGTAATATTAAATATTAGGTTACTACTACACTTACAGTAGGACTATTATATTAAGTTAGTAGATAGGAAATAACCTAAGACCTATAAGATTTATAACCTTAACGAAAAAGAGCTTAAGACTCTAAGGGAATAGTTAAATAAATAATTAAAAAAAGAATATATCTAAGTTTTTAATTTATTAATAAAATACCCTATAATATTTATACTAAAGAAAAACAGGAAGTTATAATTAATTATTAACTACTAATAACTTAATAAAATTACTATTAAAGATTAAATACTACTACTATTAATTTTAAAGATAAAAGATAGGTTAGTAACTGTAAAATAGTTTACGGCTCTTAACTTAAAAGGAGCCTATAACCTTATTTAAATTAAGGAAAAAGATAAATAAAAGATAGCGTTTAAAATACGCTATAGATTATTTAAATATTTAGTTATACCCTTTGGACTTACTAATACATCAGCTACGTTTTAAAGAATAATTAATAAAGTCCTTAAGGAATATATTAATAGGTTTATTATTATTTACCTTAATAATATACTAATCTACTCTAATACCTTAGAAAAGCATAAATAATATATATATTAAGTCTTAGAAATACTATAAGCAGTAAACTTACTAGTGGAACTAGAGAAATGTTAGTTCTATATCTAAAAAGTTAACTTTTTAAAATATATTATCTTACTAAAATAAATTAAAATAAACCCTATTAAAATAATAGTTATTAAGGAATAAAAGGTCCCTAAGACTATAAAGGAAGTATAAAGCTTCCTTAGTCTAGCGAATTACTACCGAAGGTTTATTAGGAACTATAGTAAGATTATAATACTACTTACGGATTTTACTAAAAAGGATCCTAATAATAAGGTTAAGAAAAACTAACCTATTAGATATATAAGGAAGGTCCTAGAAGCCTTTAAAACGCTCTAAAAAGCTATTACTAGCGCACTAGTATTATAAATATATAACCCTAAGAGGCCTGTTATTATTAAAATAGATGCCTTAAACTACGTAATTAGAGGAGTTCTTAGCTAATGAGATAATAAAGGAATACTATATTTAGTAGCCTTCTTTTTTAAAAAACTCTATGGCCTTAAACTATAATACTCTACCTATAACTAAGAACTTATAGCTATCTTTAAAGTATTTAAGGAATAAAGATTATATTTATTAGGTAATAAGTATAAGATTACTATATATTTTAATTATAAAAATTTTATAAATTTTACTATAAAAGAAATAAATATCTTTATATAGTAAAAAAAGTATCTTAAGCTTATAGCTAAGTATAACTTTAAAATTATACCTTATAAAAGATTAGAAAATAGTTAAGTAAATACTTTTAGCTATAGAAAAAACTACTTTAAACTAATACTAAAACTTACCTTAATAATATTTTAAAAAATAGCAGAAGGGTACTATAAATTAGTAGTTATTAATACTTTTTTTATAATTAAAGATAGAAACCCTATCCTTAATAAAATTAAGGATAAAGTTAATAACTAAATACTAAACTAATTCTCTGAAAATATAACCCTTATAGAAGGAATTCTATACTAGAATAATAAAATCTAGGTATTAGAATTACTATAGAAAAAAGTAATAAAGATAGTTTACAAATATCTATTATATAAATATAAGGGAGTTACTAAGATACTATAATAAGTATAATAGTATTATACCTTTATAAGTATAAAGAAAGTTATTAAAGGAATTATTTAATTATACGTTTTATATATAAAAACAAAGTCTAGTTAATAAAAACCTTATAGTAAACTATAATTATTACTAATACTAAAGTACCCTTAAAGCTTTATTTTATTTAATTATATTATTAAGCTACTATTATTAAAGGAGCCTATAATAAATATAGTATATAATAGCATCTTCGTTATTATTAATAAATTAATAAAATAAAGTATCTTTATTTTATATAAGGAAAGAAATATAGTAGAAGAATTAGGCTATATAATATAAAAGTATATAGCCTTAAAATATAAATTACCTACGGAAATTATTTTTAATAAAGGATTAACGTTTATATTTAAATATTAGTAAAGTACTATAGTAAAAATAGGTATAAACTATAAAGCTAGTACTACTTACTACCCTTAAATAGATAAATAAATAAAATACGCTAATTAAATCGTTGAAGTATACTTATAAAGCTATATTAACTTTAATTAAAACAACTAGGTTAAGTACTTACCTAATGTAGAATTCTCTTATAATAATTTAGTTTTAAAATTAATAAAGCTCTTACTATTTTACGTTAATAAAAGGTATTACCTATAAGTATATTAAATACTGTAAAAGGGAGAAGATATATAAAAAGCTATACTTAAAGTAAATAAGCTTAAAGAACTACACTAAGAACTACATATATAATTTAAACTTATGTAAGAATATATAAGGAAGTATATAAATAAAAAAAGGCTTAAAGGATTAACCCTTTAGGAGGGAGATATAGTCTACTTACTTTAATATACTTAAGGAGAAAAATAAGCTAATATTAAAATAAATAGGCTAAGTAATAAGCTAAACTATAAAAAAGTCAGGCTTTATAAAATTTTAAAGAAAATCGGTGAAGTTAACTATAAACTAGACCTCCTAGAGTAACTAAATAAACAAGGAAAACTAGTTTACCTAATTTTTTATATTTTACTATTAGAAAAAGTATTAATAAATAAAGATATAAAAGAATTTATTAAGGATAAAATTATTATTAAAGGCAAAGAACTTAAATATAAGGTTAATAAAATAATATTACTAAAAATAGATAAAGTAACTAATAAACTCTAATACTTAATAAAATAAAAAAAATATAATAGAAATATAGACAGCTAAGAACTAGAAAGTAATTTTAAATATACTAGTACTACCCTAAAAACCTTCTAAAATAAACTCCGTAAATAATTATAAGTATAATAAGAACTAATATAGGAAGAACCTAAACGACCTACAAAACTACCTAGGATAGTAATAAGAGAATACCCTTTATTAAGGTAAGAAGATTAAGATCTAAGGACCTTAAATTAACATTAGAAAAGAAATTAATATTAACAGCCTTTAGACCTAGAGTTATAGGGTTAGTAGGATTAGGTAATAACGTTTTAGCCTAACGTAAGGCCTCCGCTTTCGCATACTTAACCCTATTTAACTTATCTAAGTTATTAATACCCTACGTAATAGTATATATTATCTTTTAATACTATTATTTTTTCTTTTTACAAAAGCGTTTAACCTTTACATTAGCTAAATAAAGATATTTAAGCTCCTGCTTATACTTTTCTTTAGCTACTTTAATTACTACTTTTAACTTAATATATTAAGCAGCTACTTTACAAAACTGCGCAGGAGAAAGTTATTTAGTATTACAAAGGGATTTTTAATTAATAATATAAGCTAAATAATAAAAGGATTTACCCTTTAAAAAAAAATACTCTACATCCGAGGATTTATAAATAAAATATTTATTTATTTTAACTAAGTAAAATAATATTAATAAGTAAAGATTATTATACTGCTTTTGCTTATTAGTTTTACACTCCTTAGATTTAGTTAGTATAATTATAATAATTAAATACTAAGTAAATAAAGAATAAAAAGAACTAGGTAAGGATTTATAAAAAGGGAAGTAGGTTACTTATATTATAAAGAGTAAGGTCTTAAGAATAAAACTAACGGAAGGGGGATATTATATTACGACCTAATACTTATAGTTGTAATAATAGGCTAAACTAACTAGGTATGATTAGATTAACTATAATCCGACTAGCTAATTAGACCTTACTTATCTTACTTATTTAACGAGCTTAGTAAGCTTATGCTCTTTATACTTATCTTACGAGCTACACGAGCCCAGAGTTAACTAGGTATATAAGTTTACTTTATATTACTTATTAGAATAGTTTAAATAGCTAGTTATAAATACAGAGTAACGCTTAATTATACCTATAAAGTATTATCTACTAATTATGTAAATAAACCCCTTTTTTATCCTTGTTGATTACCTGCTAGTTTAGCCTGGCCTATTTGCTAACATAAACCTAGCATAAGGTTTGTCCCTTGGGAATCCCTTTTATACTAATACTATAGGAGCTCAGCTTGTTATAATATAATTAATTAAATTATATTTAATTAATTATATCTTTATTTATTTAAAATAATTTATTAAAAATAATATTTATTTTTATTTTATTAAATAATTTTATAATATATATTTTTATTATAAATTTTATAAAAATCATAATAAATTTAAAATTATTTTTTAAAATTTTATTTATATTTAAATTTATTTTATTTTAAAAATTTTTAATTCTTATAAAATTATAAAATATTATTATTTATTTAATTTATTTTATTAATAAAATAAACTTAATTAATATTAAAAAATTATTTTTATTTATTAAAAATATAATTAAAATTTATATTCTTTACTTAATTACATAAAAAAACTATTAATATAATATAAATATATTATTTAAATTTATAATTAAAAAAAATAATTAATTAAAATATAAAAATTAAATTATAAAAAGCTTTATATTAATATAAAATAAAATATTTTATAATTAATTTTTTTTAATTATTTTATAATAAAAATTTTTTAATACTTTATAAACTTTATAACCTAGGCTTAAATAAGCCTAGTAGTATTATATAGTATATTATAATAAAGCTAAGAAATAACTTATATTCTAATAAATATTTATATAGTATTTATAAATACCTTAGGGTATTAAATATTAGACTTAAGGTACTAAATAAGAATTCCATTCCTTTATTTTAGCTTAGTTATTTATCTTAGCCACTAAGGTCATAAGCTAAATTGCCTATTAAAAAACTAAGTCCTAGTCCTTAATCCAGCCTCCTCAGGTTCCCTTAGACATCCAGTCTAGCCTTTCCATAGGTCTTATCACTACGCTTAGCGTGTACACTTCGGAACTCTACCACGAACGCCGTAAGGTCCTCAACGGCCATGCAACATGTCCTAAGTCTCTCCAGCAAGGAATGGTCCTCCGTTCGAGGGACCTCCACGCTTGGTCGTCCTTCACAACTGAGCTGCTGAGCCCTTGGCTGACGATCCTTGAGCCAATGGACCAGTCGGCAACGGGCCCAGTACGCAACCACCATCGTATTGTGTGTTGTCACACGCTTGCACTCCGCCACATCCCAGCGCAAGGTGGCGTCAGCTCGGGCCTGAACTGAGCTGTATCCTGGGGTGAGATCCACCCAGTGGGAATGGATCGTACTGCCTCGGATGTCACAGTAGATAAACGCGAGGGTATAGTCATCCCAGTTGAGATGTGGTTTAAGGAACACAGGTTGTCCCGCGGCTCGGTGGGCGGGTGTTCCTTGATTCTTCTTCACGCGTGCTTGCGATCGAGGCATTCCGGGCTTGATGGTTCCCACACGCACCGAGCTCTCAGCTGCCGATCTCTCTCGTATCTTGCCTGGGTGGTCGACTGTGGAATTGGTATCCCAGCCAGATGCATACACCCAGCGATCCCAGAAGTTCTTGCGTACAGTGTCGTTGCAAAAAAGTTCCTGGTTGTTGAAAGAGGCGAGTGTTCCTAACAAGTCATCCACAAGCCTTCGGGCATCGGGATCCATGTCATCATAAGATCTCCATATGCGAGCAAGACGATTTGTGTTCTGGCTTGGCATAACGGCGCCAGGAGGAAACGCTCGCTGCAATGTGTCTCGCGTAGCTTGGGAGCTGATCATTCCAGGCTGGCCGTACTCCCGCGGCAGCTCGAGCTCGCCCCTGGGAGCTTGGGATGGCTCCTGGCCACTCGAGGGCGTGAGGAGCCCATTGTTGGGTTGGCTCATTTTGAGTCCGAGGACGTGGATGGCATAGAGTGTCGGGCGTGACGCTTGTTTGCTTGACACCTGTTCCTGTATTTCATGAGCCGTTGTCTCGTATGGGTAGTGATCGTGAGAGTGACATACCTGATTCGCTTCGGGGTTCGCGACGATGTGTGTGGTTGAGAGCCCAAACGTTATGACGAGGGGAGTGTGAGGCAGGGTTGGAAGGAGACTCACCACTCATTATCAAACGGGGACAATAGCAAGGGCAATGAAAGCTATTGTACCCGTCGTATTGATCCCAGGGACGAGGCGGTTTGCACTTTGGCGGACTGGCAGCTTTCCAACAGCTGCCAACACAGCACTACGAAACAATGGTCCACGAGTTACCGGACTCAACCAAAACGCTATTGTATTGCTCAATACTAGTAAACAATTGCGATCCATGCTATTACAGACTTGAGCAAGACACGAAGCATAACGCTCCTCCCGGGAGAGACCCGGGAGGGTCCCGGGACCCCCTTTGGCCTTCCTGTCTAAATGGCCATCCATTCGCAAATCGCCAGTCATGCTGAATCGCGTGCCCATACGACATCACGCCACGGAGTGCCTTTCAGGAGCCGTTCTGGCAAGCGGCGACCCGACTGCGAGTAATCCCAATGAATCTCGCTTGCCCCCGTCCTCCCCTTTGCGCCATTCGTAAGATACACATATCTGGCGTTTTTCGCACCACTCGAACTTTGTAAAGTGCCTGTCAATCGTATGGAAGATAGCTTGACGCACTGCTGATGTATGGGTTTCACATTCCCCAGGCGAAGAGTTCAGTCCCTGGAGATCTCCCTGGAGCATGTCAACCGCTAACTTAGATTTTTTTACAATTTCAGAAGCGAGGGGTCCATGTGCCATGGCGTTTCTTGCGGTGTATGCAGAGATCAAGGCCGTGATTTGCGCGGCACTTATACTAGTCAGGCTCCCAAGTGTTTCGATCAGGTGGATAAGAGGTGTGTCTGTAATATCAGGAACAGTCCTGCCCCCTGCCGTGCCTTTGCGATCCTATTCACAGGCAAGGCGCTCATGGATCGCTGTCCATTTGGCGTTTTTGAAGAAAGCGAGCGCCTCCTTGTCCACCGTCGTTGAGGTATCAGGACCTGCAGTACCAGCAGTGCCCCTGGCCTGCAGATGCCGAGAGTTGCCCTGGAGCTCTCGGAGAAACGCAGCTATATAATCACCATAATGGAGACGGAATTTCAAAACTTCCATCTCTGCAAGGCTTGCGCTGGCCTCTGTATACCTAGCCTCTGCAGAGAGACGTCTTGTCGCCTTAGAAACACGACGTCTTATCTCATTTGCCAGAGAAATAGTATGTTCCTGGTCTGTTTCAATGCTATCTCTCTCCAAGCGGCTTAACAGGTTCTGGGCTGTTTTTAACGTGGCTGGGCTTACAGCCTCGGGCACCTCTATGTTGATATTAATTATCTCGCGAAGGCATTCTTTCCCAGCGACAGAGGAAGACTGAGGCATAGTGGTGGATGTGGTAAAGGATCCTAGTATGAAAGATAGGCGTGTGGAATAGTTTATAATAATAGAGTAATATAAGAGGATAGTAGTGAGTGAATATGCTATAATGAAAGAGAAGGAATTTCCTAAGGCGCCTTTGGAAATAGAACATTTCTCTTAAGTTATATAATTAATATAAATATAAATAAATTTATATTAATTATAAATATAAAGATAAAAATATATAAAAAAAAATTTTTTTTTTAATAAAAATAAAACTTTATATTATATATTATTTATATAATAATTTTTATAAAAAATAAAAATATTTTTTATTATTATTAAAATATTATAAATAATAAATTATAATGTGATTTTAATTTTATTAATTAAAAATAAAAGTAATTAAATTATATATTAAAATTAATAATAATTTTTATAATTATATTTATTTAATTTATTTTAAAAATATTAATTATTTTATATATATAAAATATAAATTAATAAATAAAATAAATATTATTAAATAATATATATTTATTTAAAATTTATATAATATAAATTACTTAAATATTTATTAAATTTTTTATAATTACTTTATAATATTTAATTATATATAACTATTACCTTTTATAAATAAACTAAGAGTATTTAATAAATTTATTAAATAAATTATATTATTAAATAATAAAGAGAATTTCTTTTTATTACCTAAAGGCTATATATACTATATAAACCTAGTTTAATTTAATTTCTTAATTTATATTCTAGACATGTTTGTAATTCATCTGACCATACGAATATCTCAAAGTACTTATTAGCAACCTGGAGAATAGTTGCTCTGATTGAGCCTATATCAAGGCGGCAAATGTATGGCGCTGATGAGAGACCTGCGAGATCCTTCTGAATCCTCAATCCCATAGAAATTGGTTGATCGTTTATGTTGAATGGGAACCAATGTTTATAAACCACGTAGGAGTGCCTTCCCTCCGAACATATGCGTATTGATTGATAAATATCCAGTGGCTTAGTTTCTGTTCGCACGGCCAGCGCTCGAATTAATTGAACCAAAGGCGCCTGTGGAGCCCAAGGGTTCTTTGGAAACTCCGCTGTGGTCACTGGGCCGTTCTCCTTCACGAGGCGATCATGAATGACTGGCCACTCCTCGTTTTCAAAGAAAGTGAGTGCTTCCTTTTCAGATTCGTCGGACTCCAAGGGCACAACATGAGTTGGGGTGATTCGAGTAGAAGGACCTTTCACTTCGTTGTATACGTCGTTCTTATATGATGGCATGTAGTCGCTATAACGTAGCTGGAAAACCATGATGTTAAGGTCCTCTAACCGGGCAAAAGCAGATGCATACTTGGCATCATCCGCGAGCCGCTCGTTCATTTCGATGAGACGATCATTAATCTCATCTGCCCAACGAGAGGCAAGACTAGAGTCAACGATAGGTGGTAGAGCCTCCCACTGACCCAGGAGAGCCTTCGCCCTGGACTCAGTGGAAGCACTAATCACGGTGGGTGTCTTCTCCCTCATGCTGATTATTTCTAGGAGACGGCTTTTTGCTGCTTCAAACTGTGCAACCAATGGGGCATGTGTGGTGGAAACATGTGGTGAAGCTTCCACATCAGGGAGTGGAAGAATTGGCTCTTGAGGTTCCATATCGAGAGAAGGGATGCCTGAAATGTATAATATAAAGTCGAGAATGGTATTATACTAGAGTATGAGTGTGTCTTTTGAGACGATATAAAACTGGGTGTTTCGAATTTCTTGGTGGTAGTCGGAAAGAAGAAAAAATCTGGGTAAACAAACAAACAGACAAGAGAAATGGTAAACAGCGCAACTGGGCTATAGTTATAGTTTTTACTTTTGAGCCAAATAATTATAAGATTAATGTAAAAGTACCTAGAAGACCAGTATCCGCAGTATTGAAAGATGGAGTAAAGAAACTTTCCGATCCCAAGCCTCATTATCTAGGGAGCTCTCTAAGTCAAAACTATGCGCTCTGCCCCTTGTTCACCAGAATACTTGCGAAACTCACCGCAAAGTATCATTGCGATAAAGCTTTTGAAGTACTAACGGTGAAATTGACAGAGCCAGTGACTTGTGCGTAAGACTGCAAAGGTAACTCTCATACATGTCCCGTCACCACTAGCATCTTTTGCTATGTTCTCTTCATTGGGATTGGTGTTGCGATAGTTATAGTCTCAATTCCCAGAGAACTCAACTCTTCCGGCCCTGGCTGTAAGTTGTCTGTTCCAATCTCGACCCCCACCAGGCTTCTAAGAATGACAAGGCATCCTGCCTTGCTTATAACTTCGTTAGATTCCTTGCATATCTCGGAAGCCACGCATTCAACACAGCCTTGTTGGCAACAGCATTCCTCGACTCTTTTCAAAGCACGTTCCAGAAGATGATCAATATGATCGAATGCTTTTGTGCTGACGCCAGATCCATTGGCACCACCCTTAGCATCGTAGAAAGTTAGTCGAGCCGGTCGCTTTCTTTTTGTTTCCTTTTTTGCGAATTCTTTAAGAGCCACTTTGCACTCTGTTCGTACGTCTCCAGGTAAACTGATGACGAACGCTGGCAACAAACTCATGATTACATGCTCTGCCGCATGTATGGATGCCGCTGCATTGAGCTGTCTATCTTGCAGTAGCTCAAGTACTTGTCGCGGTATGTCTAGCCACATTCCCTTGCTATACCGTATGACAGGGGGATTGTCCACCTGTACTGCGTCTATGATCCGCCCTCTTTTGTCGACCTTGAAGAATCCAAATACGTTTTGCTGAATCTTTATACTTCCATAGTAGGCGTGGCAAGAGGACCTAGGTATTGTGCGAATGGCCTCAATTTCCACAGGGTCAATATCAGTAAAGTCTCGCGCCATGGTACTCCACTCAACATTGACCCTCTCAACTTTAGCCATGCTTTTCTCAGGTAGGAAATCCCGAATAAGATATGTGTTACCCTGGTGGAGGAATATGGCCCCATCATAAATGGTAAAAGTCGCCCTCGATGCTTCTAATTCTTCCAAGACTTCGTTCCTCCCGTTTGTGATATCGATGACAGCAAAGTGCTCGTCCTCTGCATCTCGAATGGCGACATATTTGGCTGGGTGAGGACGAAAGCGGTCGTGACAGTGAAAGAAGCCCAATTCATCTTTCACCAATCGCTCTTGACAGATCTGAGGCAGGTCCCGGCCAAAAAACTGCATATCCTCATGTTGCCGAATAGGCATCTCGTAGGCTGCGCATTGGATATGCCCCTCCCGAATAAGTATATCGTCCAAGTCCACACGTAACTCACAATTTGGCCTCGAGAACAGCTCATCAGGATTGTTCATGTAGTGCTGGTCAGTTGGAAAACTGTCGCCCACTAGGATAGACAGCGAATCCTTGGTTCGCCTTCCAGCTCTGCCACTCTGCTGTCGTAAATTAGCAATAGTATAGGGGAAACCCCAAGTGAGAACGCAATCCAGTGTGCCGATATCAATGCCCAGCTCAAGTGCCGTAGTTGCCACTATACCAAGCAATTTCCCTTCGAACATTTCTGCCTCAATTTTTCGTCGGTCTCGAGCCGTATAGCCGCCCCGATAGCCCATTACCAAATTGCTACATTCCGGACGACCAAGTTCGCGCAGCTCTTGTTTTATTGCATTGGTCAATGCCTCGCATTGCGCGCGAACTCTGCAAAAAGCAATGATTCTGACGCCCCTCAGCAGAAGAGCGCAGAATAGACGAGCGCATTCGAATTTGGTGTTACCACGTCCACTGGTAGGATCTCCTGGCTCTTTGAAAGGGGTATTCCAACAAAGAAATTCCTTTCTTCCTGATGGTGATCCGTCATAGTCGATTAAACAGACATTAGATACTCCAAATATCAACTTGAAATGCTCCTCTGGATTGGCTACTGTGGCAGAGCAGGAAATGAATTGAACATGCCGGTTTCCCACCGCTGCACATATGCGTCGTAACCTCCGCATTATAAAGGCAACATGAGATCCCAGCTGGCCATTATAATAATGCAGTTCATCAACTTAATTTGTTAGTCAGTGAATTGCTCTGCCGGCCGATCTGGGGAAAACTAACCAACGACAAATTTCAGATTCTTCAAAAATGTTCTCCATCTTTGTTCCTGAGGGAGAATTGTGAGGTGAAGCATGTCGGGATTTGTAAAAATGATTCTCGCCTCTTCTCGAATAACATCTCGAAGATTCATGGGAGTATCTCCATCAAAGGTTTCCACTAAAACCTGGTTAAGACTTGGCATGAATGCCAGGATGTCCTTGAGGCTGCGTTTCTGATCCTGGGCCAGTGCTTTGGTAGGGAATATATACAAAGCCCTTGAGTTTGTATCCCGTTCCAAAGCATGTAGGACTGGCAACTGATAGATTAACGATTTTCCAGAGCTGGTAGAAGTCGATATGACGATATTTTTCCCTTCATGTAGCCCATTCAAAGCCTCAGCTTGATGGGTGTAGAACTGGGTTATATGTTTAGCATTATAGAGAGCATTCACTAACTCTTGAGATAACAGAAACTTGAGACCTCCATACTTGGGACTCTGTGGTTCGAATACTCTGTGGCCATCGGGTACGATTTGGCCGGAATACCACTCACTCTCTTTGAGCTGAAGAAGTATTTCTGAAATACTCTGTCGTTCATGAGGAATGGAATCGGGGATGGTACTCGCTGTACGAATGATTGACCGAGGTTCTTTCGGCGCCAATTTGGGTATATAATGTTCGGCTCTTTCATGGAGTGCTTTTTTCGGATCCTCGCCATCATCTGTGCATTTCTTGAGGAAGTCGCTGATAGCAATAGCAAATTTCTGGTTACGTCGTTCGATGAGCTGCATCATTTGTTTTTGGCCGTACACGGGCATTTTCAGCTTTTCTTTTCTTAGCCTTTGGGTTGGTCGCGTCGGTTCGCCCGTTTCTCTATCCAGCACTTGTCGCTTCAAATCACCATCGATGAACTCTAGGTATAATACTTCACGTCCATTCATCGCGGCCTGGTCGTCGGCCCCATCGCCTAGCCGTTCATTCCCAGTCAACCCGCCAACAGACACATCGTGAGCCGGCATTTGAGACATGGAACCCTGAGAGGATTTGAACACATCATCCCTCTGAGCGCCTCTAGTGTTGAGCTGTAGCATAAGCTCATTGGTGTATTCGAACTTCATAGCTTCTGGACGGAGAGCAACCATTTGTGCGACATCCTGGATTCTTAATGTTCTTTTAATGTGTGATTCAACAGCTGGTCGAAGGGTATCAAATGTTGTTATCACATGTTTGCGCGAAGAGCAGAACGTGTAAACCAGATTCAATGCTCGATGAACTCTTTCAAGATCTTGCAGAGGCTCGGTCCAAGGTATAGGCGATGACGCAGAACTGTCCGGACCATCTTTCATATCCTGTTTCTTTTGACCAGTATTGCGTCTTTTATTCCTAGGCTTTTTCTCTGGAGTGTCCAGTGAAAGGCTCTGATGGTCATCTTCATCCAGAGTAATATTTTCCTTACGGATGCGCTTCCGTGCATCCATATTTCTCTGCTCACTCTGAGCCAAAGGCGCCACTGCGCTATCTTCCATAGTTGGAATGGAACGGGGTTTCCCAACTGAAGGGCCCCCAGTTGGCTAGTTCAAAATTCATTTCATTGAAATGAAGAGGGAAGAAGACAAATGTCAAGAGTTGGGAGATTTTGATGGGTATGGAGAGGGATCATCGGTTCTGACCATTCAAAGGTTAGCACTAAGGAAGGCATGCACAGACAAGTTTAAGAGGCGATTCGCGTTAGGATATCAGACTAGAAATCACGAAACTAACGCAAAATCACGTGCCCGTCTGTTGTTAGAAACATAAGGTACCCGTATATAGGAGTGCGGTCTTCTTATAGCTCAGCACAAGGCCATGAATTGTACATTTTTTTTTGTGTACCTACATGTAAACTGGGTTGCGGAGACCTGCTGTTTAACAAATTTATATATTCAGCACTTAGAATGGTATTACTATTGGAAATTTCGTCCCATGTGACAAGTCTAGAGTATCCCTGAAGTACTGTACACAGATGCCTGATCGCCGTGAAGAAAAAAAATAAAAAAAAATCCATTCCTGGGTCTATGCAACATTGAATCCCATGGACTATTAGCCTGCATTGTGGTCGTGCTGCCGTCTGTGTTATGACACAGCGCCAATGCGCAGCTTATTTCCGGGGTGTTCTTTGCCTTCTCCTGAACGGCACAGGTGTGGCCATGGCTAAGCGTATCTAAATCATACACGAACACGTACTTTGCCATTTAACTGTCCGCCGTTATTTCTTTTTAGCATCAAAGTTTCATGATGGAGGGGTTTAATTGCCTCGAAGTTCTTTCTGAATGCTGCTAACTTCCTTTAAGAAGCTCTTGGCACTCGCGGCTGACATCTAACGCAAACAGCGATGTTAGTATTGGGTATGTCGTATTTAATCCGTATGATGGGTAGATAGAGGCGAAACTCACTCTCATTGTAATGCTCACTGGCTTAGCCTGTTCACCCTCAAATGCCGTGAACAATATCCCTACAGACTTAAGGGATGCCTTTTCTTGGAAATTCATTGCGGGGAGAATTGCAGTGTTGAGAATGACACGATGCGTCTGATCTTGACGCATGAGAAGGCGGACAACTTTGTGCACCTGTGCCTTGTCATCTTCACCATCATCACCTTCAAGGCTAGACGCATCAAAAGAGCCAAGAATGGGTGAGCCGTTCTCATCGAACTCAATACAAGCTTGGGGGACATTTATTTTCAACATTCCAGCACCTCGCTCTTTCCAGCCTGCTTCTTTGTCGTGGTAAAACATCTTTGCTCGGACTGAGAGTAAAGTTGCTTCACCTGCCTCGCCGTCATCAACTTCGACTGTAATATCATGTTAAAGTTAGCAATCAGCGTACAAAATAGCCCAAACAAGTGCCTCTAAAAATCAAAATGGAATAGAACACTGCTCTCTTACCCTTGTGCAGTCTGATTCTCTTCTTCTCCTCCAGTTCCTTTTCCGGAGATGGTGCTCGCTCTTGTTCATTCGACTCAGATTCGTCATCTCGCTCAGCGTCTTCCTCCTCCTCCTCCTCTGCATCGCTTTCTGGGGCTCCGAAAGGTTTTGCTGGCTTTTCACTTTGCAGGGGTTTGGCCAAAGGTGAAGCAAAGCTTTCTAATCCCTTGCCTGCAGAAAACGGAGAGCCGAGACTGGCTCCACCGAACCCGGAAGAAAGATTGGCAAAAGGCGAAGCACTATTAACACTACCAAACGTCAATTTAGGCATGGTAACAGCTGGCGCAGGCTGTGATGTTGAGGCTCCCAGCCCGGTGCCTGATAATAGAGCCGAGGAGCCAATTGAAGAAGAAAAAATGCTGCTCTGAGATGTGCCCAAGCTCGCAAACGGGGAGGATCCAGTAGCAAGTTTGCCGAATCCAGAGGCTGAAAATGCAGAGGATGATGTCTGTGGTAAGACACTTGCTGTAGGAATCTTTGGAGAATTTGCGGTCTCTTCTGTAGCAGGTTGCAAGTCCGCTGTTGATGAGGAGTTCTGTTTGCGTATTAGATAGGGCCACCACATAGAGAACGTGTAACATCAAATAGCATATCACATACAGACACTACTCTCTTCGAGTCTTCCTCACGATGCCTCTTCTTTTCCGGCTCCAATCGAGAAGCCCGATCTCTGTTGGACTCTGTGGAGGTAACGCTGTTGGCATCGTTCTGCTCGACGTCTATGCTTCCGTCTAACTGGTCGTGTGCGCGCTTCTTCTTTGGAGACGGCACATGTTCCTTGAGTTTCTCGTCTTGGCTATCGGATACAGCGTCGGCTGGGGTCTCAGGGCGTGCCGCTCTCTCGTCGACAGAGTCGGGTGCGAGGTCGCCCACGGAAGTAGGAGGATCCGATATGGAAGACTGTTTCAGCTCGCGGCGGGCGGCGCGCGTCTCTGCATCTTCGCCTGCTTCTGCGTAGACTCGCTCGTTCTTTGGGCTAGCCGCCTCCTGGGAATTGTCGGCCATGGTGTTGTATCAGGTTGACTCGAAATGGTGTCGATCGCGCAGGAAGATGCTGGCAGACGGAGTAGATCTGCGGCTTCGATAAGACAGCGACGGCTGCTCGCGCAGAACCGCGCGACCTAGACAGAGAACCAGATCAAATATACAGAAACGTCTTTGAGTACGAGCAGCAGAGCAGCCGGGCAAAGACTCTAGATTTGCACAATCACCACTTCTAGTTTCCTGGGTCTTGCCGCTGCAGTCGCGCTGCAGCAATTTTGTGCCGTCAGTTGGAGATGGTCAACTCAGCTGGTCAAGCGCCCAATCAAAGACGTGTGCACCTGGTATCTTTGGGTTCAGCACATGAGGAAAGGGAACCTGAGGTACTTTGAAGATACGAATCTCCACGCAGCCCAAGAAGAGGCAGGCTATGCAAAACTGACAACTGCCAGGTACTGAAAGGTACCACTACTAAACTTTGCTGAGGCGCTGGTCCCCACCTGCCCGCCGCAATAACGAAGAGGGGTAGTAATTAAAACGGCCTGGCAAACTGATTTCGCAACAAGGTGCCTTGCATGGATGCAATACGGAGTACTACGTGCCAATTCATAACGGTTCGTCCTTATCGCTCCATGCTGGTAATGTGACTATTTGTTACAATGTTGAATTGGTATATTTATGAAATGCAGGTGGCAGGCACCATTTGTGCCTACGTAGCCGCATTATTCAGTATGGTAGGCCTTCATCACGTCTCTACTGGCCAGGTAAAATGGCAGCTGTTTGAGGATATCCGTATAAGTCGTGTAAGAGGGGCTCCAATCGAGTATCAACATAATTGAACACAACGTAATTGAACGTACGCGTCTGATTGATTTAGAATATGGTCTTGAAAGCTTTGAAAACATATCAAGAGACGCGCCGCTATGCGTGCATCTACTGACATAGGGATCGCTCTACCCTTGAGACAATCGTTTTTCATTACACATAACCCTTGCATTACTGAAGGATAATTGGGCATCGCCCAAAGCCAACGCGCCACCCTTAGCTAATAAAGCAGAGGCATCCTAAGCCTAGGTAAAACACAAGGAGAGGGTAAACAGCAATGGCCACACGATTCTTGACCACTCCGCTACCACCCAAAATGCTGACGCCAGCAGCAAGGGACCACGCGATGAGACAAAGATACACCGGTATCCGCGCGATCCAGTGGAGCTTGAGAGCCGACAGGAGAGCGGCAATGACTAGCGGAAACAACGTGTAGCCAATAATGCAGATGCTCTGAGCAAAGGAGCTGCCGTTGTCTGTTAGTGATATGATTAATTGGTCACTGTTGTGTTCACTTACATGTTGCCACCCAAAAGCTTGATTTGAAGGGTCACAATTGCTTCACCAAGCCATATGGTAGCAAAGACACCGCTGAAGACAGCATCTTTCTGATCAGCTCGCGCTGTGAAGCTGAGCAACAAGCTGAGCAGTAGGCAGAAAATCAGAGGCCCCCATAGGTCCCAGTCTCGCAGTCCGGGGCTCATATTGCTCTGCAGCAGAGCTTCGGCATCTATGACTCTGCTGGCAAGACCAGTGAGCTCCTCCCTCGTGCCCGTCAAGCCGGCACCGCGGATATTGGAATATGCACCGCGAAGACCGCCTTCAGAATCGAACATGGTGCCGCCGAGAAGATATCGTGGGTACAGGACTTCCTTCAATTTGGCCCACACCGCCAAGAGGTCGCGGCGTAGAGTATCCCATACGCTTTCATCAATGGTGTTCTGGGGCGCCCTTCGATCATCTCCAGGAATGCGAGACGTAAGATAGCCTTCGTCTAACGCTCCCGACGCCGACGCACCGGAGGCAATGGTGTTTGTCAAAGGTTGCCGAGCCGATTGAGGAGCGAGAGGGTCATCGAAGTCGTTAAGATCCGCTGGTCATGTTGCATCAGCTTCGTGCTCGGCATAGCAAGACAGGAAACAGCCCCTACCATCATCCGGATCAATCAGATCGTCGTCCTCGAGAGAGGCGCGGTTGTATTGGCCCCTAGCGCTCGACATTGTAATGCACTGGATTCAAAATGAAGGTTGGAACAATGCGCTTCCGTCGTCGAGGTGTTTGCAAGGTTCTGTGATAGCAGTTCTTGGCCTTCCAAGGAGGCTGTCTAGCTAACGAGAAGCTGCCGTCGTCACAAAGGTGTAGTGGGGCCGAGAAGCTGTTGACGTGGAGCTTATACGTAGCCTCGCCCCGGTTGCGTAGTGGCTGTACATGTACGACAAGGACGGACTCTCGCAGGGGACCCAGGAAGTAGATCTACTTGATCCATGTATGGACACTGAACCTTGCAGTGTCCGACCTTCAATGTTCTGAGACGACTTCATGTAACGAAATGAAATTTAGCCTAAGTTACTTACGTAGATAAACATTCAATTCAAGAGTTTGATAGCATGAACTAAATAAATCATTATACTACATACCGTACTAGTACCGTTACTGATACACCCGTCCAGGGAACATTTATGAGGTTAATTAATCCTCGTTTAGAGCAGAATATCCCAAACTCCTCAGACCATACATTATCAAGTTAGCAAGAGCCTACCTATTTGCTTACTTTCCAACCTCTTCAACTCCAAGACTTCCCAGAATACCAGCACACTTGGTAAATTGCGCGCCCGATCAATTAGGCCATGGGAGCCAGATGAACCCTTCTTATGCTTCAAAGGTCTTAACCTGGCCGGTGCTGCTTGGTGGCAGCATTGATTGCCCCTCTAGCACGCTTTGAAACCCCAACTTTTCGCCATCCATGGTAATATCCTGAGCCATTCTGGATCCCTGCACTCCGCCTACTTCAGCTGCCGCATTCAGCGTGTCTTGGATGGTCTGCACTTGTCTTTTAAAGGCCAGTCTGTCCAGGAAAAGCTGCTGCCTGCCGCGCTCCAACTCTCTGCGTTCTTCTCGCAACAGCTCTTCCATCTCATCAAAGTATTTGAGCTTCAATTCGAGTTTTTGGAGCATGATGTTGGCGGCTGCTGAGACCAATCGTGTCATCTCTCGCTCTTCATGCGAAGCGAATACCGCTCCACGAGCACCGATAGAGGCCAAGGGGATTGAAGCAAGGGATGTTTTTGTTGTCGATGTTGTCGTAGTGGTGGTGGTAACAACTGTCTGTCGGAAATCTACATCCATTGACTCTGTCTTGTCCACTTCGCTGTCCTTTTTGTCTGCTGCTACGTTGCTGCTCGCTTGGTTCGCACCATCGAGTTGCTTTCGCAGGTTACGCTTGAGCTCGTCTGCTGATCTATTTGCTGCCGCGGCAGTGCTAGCAGGGTCTGCCAGGCTTGCCAAAAAGCCCACGACAGACATGACAGGGTTATCCACTTGGTTGAAAGGGAGGTGGCCGTGTTGGCTTCCCAACATGGATAAGCCAGTGGGTGGGTTTGTAGGTGCCTCAGAATCGAGATACTTCTCTTCAATATCCAACTGAAGGAACTGCAGCACGCATTCTTCCCTCGTTCGAGTGCCAACGTGATCAGCAATTTCTCCCCAGTCATCATCAAATCGCTCGAGACCCTCTAGGAGGCGTAGGATTTCGGCATCGGTCCACGGCGCATCTCGGTCCAGAATCGATGTGTATGTAGGGTTTTCCACTTTAGAGTACATGCTAGAAGTGTGGCTCGCTGGCAACCGGCCTTCGGTAAAGCAGTTAGGGCAGAGATCGAACTTGGCCTTCGCTCTTGCATCTGATTGGGAACTGTGGTAGTATATCCTGGTACAATCGTTACCGCATTGGTGACAGTTGATCTTAGCCACAGGCGTCTTGGCGGCTTCTTCAATGGAACCATCGTCGCCGTTCTTTTGGCTTTCCGACTTCGTAATAGGAGTGCCTTTAGCACTGGCTTCATAAATATTTCGCCCAATTCCTAGGTTGAGGTCACCCTTGCTTGGGACCGAAGCGTTGGCCTTGTCATCAGTGTCACGATTCTTCTTGCCTTCCAAAACGACAGGGTCTGCAGCAGGTTGCCAGGGTTGAAGTCCTCGGGGAGTATCGCATATGATTTTGAAGTGACCGGTGAACGGCGGACCAACGTGTGACGGCCGCTGGTCGGCATCAACCTATTAAAGAGCGTTAGCGGTGTAAGTGTAACACGAAATTCTGTGCTGTAATTACTTGATAATTGATCAATCCCCATTGTTCAAGAAACGCATGAACGCGCATGATGGCACAGACGTCACCAGCCAGATTGCGACGACAGGCTGTCATCGTGAGATATTCAACTGGGTTGAGACGGTAGGTGTTGATCATGAAATCGCGATAGTCTTTGTAAACAGCCGGTGTTTTGCTCCGATTGCGATTGTTGAAAAACTCTGCCATGGCTTTGCGCTCGATATCATGGATGCTGTTCATGTCAAACCAGGTGCTGTAACTCGGCAGAACAATAGCATGCGTCTGAGAGATGAGGTGATCCCGGGCAGCGGATTCAAACGCTTCTTTCGACTTGGTCTCAACCCCTCCATTCAATGCTGCCGAAGTATCATTCGAGCCGGCGGGCAGTCCTTTGGTATCCTCAGACACATCGCCCATCTCCTCGTCTAGGCGAGCGGCAGTAGTCGGTGCTGCAGCATCGCTTGGGATATCGCCTGAATTGTCTACCGCTGCGCCAGCTGCAGGGCTTCCGCCGCCCTGTGTGATCGGCTCCGCGTTTGAAGATTCCTCAGACATCTGTACATCTATCGATTCCATTAGATAGATGATACTTTGTTGAGGGCCAATTGGAGACTGCTTACCTTGAGTATCTTGGCTTTTGACATTGGCCTGCGACGGCGCTTGTGAGAGACCAGGGTTCGGGGCTGGCGACGTCTCGGTTCCTGGAGAGCCGAAGGCTGTAGAGTCATCCATTGCTACGCGTCTCGGCTAGAACGATTTGGAAAGAGATTGGGGTTCAGAGATCCAGCTTGTCAGGATGACGCGCAGCAAGCGTTGGAGATGGAAGTTGGCAGGGCAGTGTCAGTATTTTTAACGCGACGGGAAACGCCATTAGCAACTTAGCACAGTACAGGTACAAGCAGAGGATACGGTTCCCACTTAGTAAGGTATCACTACCTGGTGGTATTACAATAACAGAATTTCTAATAAATGCAATTAATGTTAAATTTTAGATTCAACACCAAATATTTAATAATCACATTATACACAATATTAAAGTGTAATTAAAACTAAAATCGTTTACTTTTTTTTAAATTAGTTTTTTTTTAAAAAAAAATAAAAATCTTTGTTTAATATTAATTATAATCGTAGTAGTAAGAGTTTCTAGATTTTTAAGTGTTTAAAAAATCAAATAATTTTTGTTAATTAAACTAACTAATATATGCATTTTTGTTGGGCCTTTCCTGTTTCAATGCCGCATGGATTGGCACCGTGCATATGCAGTGACTAAGCGTGGATGCTTCGTGCTTCACATGCGCTACCTCGAAGTGGATGCTAGTTGTTGGCTGTAATGACAGCATAGGTGTCTTGCTGTCCTTGGCTCGTGTCTTGTTTCTTGCTATATGTACTTTTTCGCCAGGTCACATTTGATCGATACCACCGACGCTGCTTCTTACAAATTCTTTCTTTCTTTCTTTCTTTACCTCTCGCGAATGGTCTAATTAAAAGCAATCCTCCAATTGGCGGATACCCAATGCACTGCGAATATGGCAACCCCCTCACCCGTCCACAGCGTGCTGCCTGCATCGCCAACTTCGCATCATGATATCCCGAGGATGCAATATCGAAGCCGTCCCGTATCCGTCGCTGTAGAGCCCGTTTCACTGGTCATATCGGAATGTATAGCGATCACCTCAGCTATTCAAAAGCATGCGCGCTCTTCCCATTTCTCCGTCTCTGCCATTCTTGGCGGAAATCCCAATACTATACAATTCGGATCCCCTAAACAGCAACCCCAGTCGCGAGACCGAAGTGTTGGAGGTCCCTTTGGAGACGGTGATCAGGATGAAGCGGCGAGCAATCGCTGGAGCTTTCAGGGTCAGAGGGCGAAGGGCTTGCAGGATAGCCCCATGATCGCAGGATTCGGCAAGCTTCGCCAGGAGATTACGGGTGTTAAAAGTGTGTACTGGCTTCACCTTGGCACTTGCTTTCAGCTAATAATAAATAGATATTCACTCATTCGATGCCCTGACGCTCTTGACCCCATTTCTCTTTGTGATTCAAGAGAAAGGAACTGCGGCACCGATCACGATACTAGCTCTGGGCGCATTGAGGAAATTCCTTGCTTATGGGTTTATCGCTTCTGAGTCTCCTCGCTTTGCACTGGCTATGCAATCGCTCTCCGCCGCTGTTACACACTGTCAATTCGATATAAGTGATTCGGCCCAAGGCGAAGTTGTGCTGCTCATGATTCTCAACTTGATGGAGGACATGATGTCTGGACCAGGAGGCTACATATTAAGCGACGAGAGTGTCTGTGATATGATGGGACGCGGCTTGGCCATATGTTCTCAGCCCCGGTTCTCGCCTGTCTTGAGGAGAACAGCCGAAGCTGTCCTAGTCAGAATGTGTCAGATCATATTCGAGGATATTAAACATCTCGAGGTCGAGGCCGGGGACGATTCTTCTGTCATGGATCAGTTGGCTGATCAACACATGGAAAATGTAAAGATGGACACTACGGCTGGCAGTACTGTTGCGGAACCGCTTGTCCCTGCTCCTACTGGAGACGAGTCTGCTCCGGAAACTTCAGATAAGGTTAGCAGTGAGAAGGCGGAAGAAGGATCTGAAAACATCCCCCCCGTCGAAGAAAACGAAAGCGACACAGAGTCATTGGATCTTCGGCCATACTCACTACCTTCCGTTAGAGAGCTATTTCGAGTTTTGGTCAACTTCCTGGATCCCAATGATCGCCATCATACCGATACAATGAGAGTGGTGGCTTTGCGGATAATACATGTTGCCTTGGAGGTGGCTGGCTCTTTCATAGCACGCCATCCTGCTTTGGCAACCATTGCCAAAGATCAGCTATGCTGTTACCTCTTTCAACTTGTCCGATCCGACAATATGGCTATTTTACAAGAATCATTAACGGTCACGGGAACGCTACTCGCAACCTGCAGAGGCGTCCTCAAGCTCCAGCAGGAACTCTACTTATCGTATTTGGTAGCATGCCTTCACCCGACAATTCACATCCCTCGCGAAGCTGGTATTGACCCCTCACTGTACGCTGGTATCCCAGAGACGCCAAAGCTAGTCAAGCCACCGCCATCGCAATCTAACAGCGGACGGTCAACTCCTGTTCCTGTTAAAGACCGACAAAAACTCGGGTTGGAAGGGGGTGCGCGTAAACCCGATGCTAGGCAAGCAATGGTAGAAGCTATTGGTGTTCTATCTAGGATGCCAACATTCGCTGTTGAGTTGTTTGTCAATTATGACTGTGACGAAAATAGGTCGGACTTATGCGAAGACGTGATTGGGTTACTTTCGCGTAACGCCTTGCCGGACTCAGCAACATGGAGTACTACAAGTGTTCCGCCTCTCTGCCTAGACGCTCTCCTGCGATTCATTCAGTTCATGGCTGAGAGAGTGCATGATGATCCTGCCTATGAAGATTTTCCGGACCCCGAGATATTGAGAGAGAAAAGACGACGGAAGAAAATTATTATCAAAGGGACGAGCAAATTTAACGAGAAGCCAAAGTTGGGACTGAGCTATCTTGAAGCGAACAATATCATTACTGATGTTGGAGATCCTGTTGCAGTGGCTAAATTCCTCAAAGGAACATCGCGAATATCGAAGGCAGTTCTCGGAGATTTTCTATCGAAAAAGGGAAACGAAGCTATCCTGGGAGCCTTCCTCGAGTTGTTCGATTTCTCTGGCAAACGAATTGACCAGGCCTTGCGAGTGATGTTGGAATCTTTTCGACTGCCGGGTGAAGCACCTCTGATCGCAGCAGTAGTCGAGTCTTTCTCCGAGAAATACTGTGACTGCAATACGCTCTCTGAGGTGGCAAACAAAGACGCTGTTTTCATTTTAACATATGCTATTATTATTTTAAACACTGATCAGCACAACCCAAATGTGAAGTCCATGAAGAGGATGACCCTCAACGACTTCTCTAGAAACTTACGAGGACAAAATAACGGCCAAGATTTTTCGCCAGATTATCTGAAGGATATTTACGAATGCATTAAGTCGAACGAGATCATATTGCCTGATGAACACGATAATCAGCACGCGTTCGATTATGCCTGGAGGGAGCTTCTTTTGAAGTCTGAGACGGCGGGCCATCTATTCACTTGCGATACCAACATTTATGACGGCGATATGTTTGCGGCAACCTGGAAGCCGATTGTTTCTACTCTATCGTATGTCTTCATGTCTGCGACGGATGATGCCGTTTTCGCCCGGATTGTAACTGGATTTGATGAATGTGCCCGCATTGCAACCAAGTATGGCAATGTTGAGGCACTTGATCAGATCGTTTACTGCCTTAGCCACATCACTACATTGGCTACTCGCGTGCCGTTTAATACGACTCTGAACACCGAAGTCCAGGTTGGGGACGGCAGAGTCATGGTTAGTGAGCTTGCTGTAAAACTTGGCAGAGACTTTCGTGCTCAGCTTGCAGTCCTCGTGCTGTTCCGGGTCGTCATTGGCAGCGAGGCTCTTATTCACCACGGGTGGAAACATGTTAGTAGTTGCATATGAAATCTGCACTGCCCGTCAAGCTAACTGTTCATAGATCATTCAAATATGGACTCATCTGTTTTTGAATTCATTAGCACCGCCCCTTTCTTCGACAGATCTTCCAACTCTACCAATTCCAGCCATTCCTTTACAGACTCCCTCACAAGTCATAGATAGGGCTGCAAGGTCTAACGATATTGGATTTTTTTCTGCATTCACATCGTACATCTCTAGCTATGCTGCAGACGACCCCCCAGAGCCATCAGACGAGGAACTAGAGAGTACACTGTGTACTGTTGACTGTATTAACTCGTGTAATATTGACAAAGTCTTGAACAACATCTCGTGAGTTTTGGCGTTTATTTTCGCTTTGTATGACATATTGGAAATTTTCTGACTGGGTGTTAGCAAACTACCCCCGGCTCGCATTGACATATTAGTTCAGGCATTGCTGGAACAATTGCCACAGAGTGACCACTCATCTGTCATTGGTGTAAAGCAGGACAATGTGACAATCGTACCTCCTAATGGGTCGATTTCGCCATCAGGTCTACCGACTTACGACCCCTCTACCCCTTTTATTCTTGAGCTCTGTACCATTTTGACTATCCGAGACGATGAATGCGCCACAAACACCGCAAAGCAAGTACTCGACGCTGTCCATGGCATTTTGCGCGATCATAGCCAGTGGCACGGTATCACCGTCTCTCGGGCAGCGTTTTATGGCCTCATGATACTGAAGTCGGGCTACGTATGTGTTCTCCATGAATACCCCCAGACTCCACGTTGACTAACTTATAACCGAAAGGATCATGATTTTGTGAATGTACCAATTTTCCTTCATACCATCTCTAGCCTACCACAGGATTTACTGCTAAAGACGGCGGATATTATACTCTCTGGGCTCTCGATTTGCACGCGTGACCCAGGCCCTCTGAGAAGTGAGATGATGACCTCGCCTGATTTCTGGGTCATTTTACGGGTGGTAGCGGGAGACGCCAATGCTGCGGCCCAAATATTCGATATCTTGGAGAGAAGCACAACCGGAACCCCCCCAGCAATCATGGCCGACAACTACGAGGCAGCAATCTCACTCTTGAATCATTTTGCATCGGCAGCTGATCCTCTGTCTTCTCGCGATTCTAAGGTGCAGGCGTCGACGAAGAAAGATGCGTAAGTCAACGACAGTGTCTTCAAATAGGTCAGAAATTGACATGATATGCAGTGAGGCCCAAGTGATAGCAAGAGGCTGCCAAGCCGTCAATACCTTGCATGGTATGACGTCTCGAATCCCACAGCTTATGCAACAGTCTCATCTAGAGAGTAGCGAGGGTAAGTCCCATATGACGTGCTACCTTCCAATTGCTCTGTACTTTGATGTATTAACATGTTCAATCAGCGTGGTCGGCCTATTGGTTACCGATTCTTCAAGCACTTACGACACAATGTACCAACTCTTGTCGTGATGTTCGCCAGCTTGCATTCTCGGCTCTTCAAAGGTCGCTGCTCTCCCCCGAGCTCACCTGCAGCGATCCGAAAGAATGGACAGCAATATTCAGCAAAGTTCTGTTCCCTCTGATTTTTAGACTCTTGAAACCAGAAGTCTTTTCCTCTGATCGGGACGGGATGAGCGAAATGCGTGTTCAAGTAGCATCTCTCCTCTGCAAAGTGTTTTTGCAGTACATGGTTCTATTATCTGAGTGGGACGGCATGCTGGACCTTTGGATTAAGATCATTGAGATCATGGATCGCCTCATGAACAGCGGACAAGGCGACAGCTTAGTACGTTCCCTTCTTTGTTCCACTTCTGCTTTATTACTGGTGTGTATAAACTAACTTTTTATTTGCAGGCGGAGGCAGTACGTGAAAACCTGAAAAACGTTGTTTTGTTTATGGCGACCAGCGGCTACCTAGTTTCTCCTGACAAAGACCCATCAAGAAAGAAGCTCTGGGATGAAACGTGGGAGAGGGTAAATAGGTTCTTACCAGACTTGCGGAATGATATTCTCAATGAGGAAAACCCCGAGTCTACTGACACTAAAGAGTCCACTGATACTAAAGACGGCGAAGAGAAATAGAAGATTTTTTTTTCTGGCTAGAATATAACTATGTTTATGCTCACTCTATATAATGTTAATAATATTGTGGTATAAGGCGGCTGTACAAAATGGAATTAATCACTAGGAATTTTATTTGCTTGCTCATGGTGTATACACCAGATTATTAACTACTGAGATGCAAGTTTTTTTGACCCCATCTATGCGTACACATATATATCCCTCTATAATCTGATCCCCGCCGTTGCGCCCTCCTTAAATATTGAAATGGACATTGATTATCGTCTTGTCATGCTTTTCCATTAATGCAATAGTTGCCCTTCGTTCGTACAATGCGTTTTTGTCGTAATCGCAATTTGGCTCGTCACTTAGTTCTTGGCCTTTCGAGACCGAGTCGAAGAGCCGTTGGTAGCAGCATAGCCCTCGCCCTGGGCGGACACTCCAGATGCCGAAGCTGATGCCTTTGAAGCCTGGCGTGTCGACTTTTGCGCAGAGGACTTCTTCCCCTTGTTTGCATAGGTTGCAAAGTAGAAGGAAATGAAGAGGACAAGATATGAGCTGAGAACAATGATGCCAGAGTAGGCGGCGAATTCCTTGCCGGCGCAGTTGCCCCAGTTGGGCATCCAAGGCCAGTAGTTGTATGTAAAGTATGTGTATGATGCAAAATAGACGAAGCCAAGGTCGATGACAAACTGGATGATTTGCAGGCGAGTCACCCACTCCTTCCACCAGATGCGCACCCCGCGAGCGCTCTGGAAATAGTACCAGTACATGACGACATGGACAAAGAGGTTTAGAGTGATGGGAACCCATTGGACCGATGTGCTACCAATTAGCTGTGTATAGCAAAGGACTGCCGTTGCGCCGTGGTGGTAGCAGTGAAGGAAAGTCAGAGGCTTCTTCTTGAGGAAGAGGAAAACCGTGTCCAGGAGTTCGAGATATTTGGTGAGATAGGTCAGCTATGAGAAGTGGTTAGCATGTAGTCAACTCGCAAGTCTCTTGAAAGGCCAGCATACATAGTACAGGACCACAAGGGGTTGTGTCCAGCCGCCATCAGCATCGCAGACGGCGAAGAGAGTTCCGCGTCGAACGATAGTGGGGAGCAATTGCTCAATGAAAAGGGCGAGGAGAACAGCGCTGACAGCCGTGAGGACGAAGTTGTGTATCAGAAAGAGCGTCTTGAGCTTGAAGGGCTCCCGAGTCCGCATCAGCTCGCGGCCACCGAAAATAATGAGATAGTAAATGGCGACAAAGATGGACGTGTCCCTCAGCGTGGACATGGGCGTCTTGCCAACGACAAAGTCGAACTCCTCGGCCGGATATCCTGCCACATACTCGAACGCCTTGCTAAAGAGCGGCCACAGGTGGATGCCAAAAGGTCTTTCGACGCTGGGAAGGGGCAGAGAGTCTGCCATGACTGCGATAACAAACGGTAGAACCCAATTGGGTTATGCAATGGCAAAGAACGGCGCAATTCAACGAGAGAAATGGGACGGGGGAAGGAAGGGAAGAAAAAAAAGAGGCCCAGATATAAGACACGACCAGCAAGAAACTCGACGCCGAGTGGCTGAAAGCAGGGCGGCTTTGGGTGGGTAAGGCGGCTTTCGAAGCCCGACTGTACCGAGTACCAGAGAAAAGCGATGGGAAATGGCCAAGAGCGCGTCTAGAATACACGCCCAACAAAACAGCTGGCGTCTTCTTGATCGGAGCTTTCGGATCTCTTCTCCCGCTAAAATTGCGGAGCGCGCCGGCCAGCCTACTTTTAACTACCTTATGCTCTGTGCTATACCGTAACTATGATAGGTGTCAGATATTGATCCAATCATGCTACGAAGCACGGGGTGGGCAAAAGCATTATCTATCATGGTTACACTAACAGACAGGCGAAATGGTACGAGTACTCGTATATCCAGAAAGACGTGCTTGCTTGCTTGCATTATCATTATACTCGTACGTACTGCGGGCCTATCCTACCAGCCTGGAACCCCCCGTGCCTATATATCTACCAACATGAAGCATTACTTCACCCCAGCTCACCTAACCTTTGTTCCCAACAATGCTCTACCTCCTTCAGCTCTACCCTCTTCCGCTACCTTACCACTGACCCTTCGTCGCTCGTAAGCGGCTGAGGGGTTCGACCAATAATCGTTTCCGGATGAAACTTTGCGGCTACTGCCGAGTGCGGTTGGTGCCGACAGAACTTCATCACCGCTGGAGTGCTTTGTGTCAAAGTGGCTGTCAAGCTGAATAGAGCTATCTCGATACCTCTGGGACCGCATATTCTGCTCCTCCTGGCTGTGGTCAACATCTTGACTTAGCCAGCTGGTTGGCTCTCCGTCAGAAGCTTCATATTGTGCGTCATAATCTATCTGACCACGAAGAGTATTGCGAGTGTTTAGCGGCCTCGGAAGGATTGGGTTCGACGTTAGGGGCTTAGGATGTGTGATGCCAAGTCGGCCCTTCTGTCGAAGAATGTCGCCCAAGGTGCTATCTTCGCCCTCTGAGTCGGAAGAAATTCCACCTGTGCTGTACGGGTTTTCTAGAGCGGCATAGGACTTGGAGCCTGAGGAACGATGGGAGCGCACTGCACGCTGACCGGGCATAAGTGCTCGTGAAACTGCGGGTGGCCTCCGTGTCTCTGCATTCTGAGTCGCAGGGGCCTTGCTGGCCCTATGAGGCGATGTTTCGGGCTCATGGGACGGGACCTCGGAGTAAGAGATTGGGTTTGACGCGCGTGGCTGATATCTAAGCGGAGCCTTCTTGCGTTCAGGTGAAGCGCTGATTCTCGATCCCATGCTGATGGCAGAATCACGCGATTCAGTCCTTGTGTGCATGAAAGAAACTGAGACGCGTTCTGGGACAGCGTCATAGACGCTCGCCGAATTACGCCGACTCTCCTGCCAGGGCTTCTCAGCTTCAGGTGCGTAGCTCGTATTGGTGGATAGCGACGATTTGTTTCTCTTGTGCGCGGGTCGGGCCGTCAAGTTGTCCTCGAGAGGGTTCATGTCCGGCGGCATAAGGCTAATCTTGCGGAACAGCCATCCCAGCCAGGCACTTGATGAGAGTGTGAGCACATGCGTGCCACCTGCGCCAACCGCGGTATACAGCACAGCTGAGGTAAACTTGGACATTATGTCCTGATTGTTGAAGACGATTCCCCAATTTGTCGCATTTTTATGTAAGGTAAGGGCTCCGAGAACATAGCCAGCTATAGCTCCCGAGTCCAAAACGACACAGCCGAAGTGATAAGCCGCTGAGGATGCAGGTGCTCTAGCCACCGCATCTCGGGAGAGGTGGTATATAGCGTAAGCTGAGTGGGTGATTGTGATCGCTTGCTGTGAATAATATTAGATATCTTCGTTCTCCGTACTTTTGTGTGAAATTGACAAGACCCAATACGTCTTGAGGCGAGCTGCATACCAAAATCCTCATTGCCCAAGCGGTGGTGTCATCTACACCTGTAAACAGAGAAAAGAGAACCAGCACACCAATGGCAGCAATCAACTGCAAACCGCGCAGCGCAACCTGGACTCGCCTCAACCATGTGATGTAGGCTTTGATCCTGAGATCCAAAGGGGAATAATTGCCCGATCGATGTGGTAGAATGACATGGTAGCTAGAACGGAATGTCAATTGGTGCTTCCTGAGTCTCACTTGGAGCAGACATACTCGGGATGAAGATCAAACGACACCAACGGTCCCTTTGGCGCAGCTTTTCTCTGCTTGGGCTCCCAGCTCGCGCGGGTAACAGCCTTTGGATCAAAAGTAGCAGTTGGGAATCTCGAATCCTCGCGCGTTGGCGCACTATACATGAAAGGCTGCTGGCCCATTCTGTCGGAGTCGTGGGCACTTCCGCCCTTGTAAGCGGTACACGTGGAGTTGTGCTTGCTGTGGAATGCTGTGACTCGCCCAAACAATGGAGGAAAAGAATGAAAGAGGTTTGGAAATGCCAGTCGCGCAAAGGGATGGACGGATGGCCTTTTTTCCAATACGATTGATTACCATGTACAACACCGTATTGGCTAGCTCCATGCACGACGCTCAGCTTGCTCCCTGCCGCTTCCCGTCTCTAGAGCTGAGCTCTGATTGGGAGCTGGTGAGGCCGTAATGGGCGCCGGGTTGCCACAGCAACGCGCTTTCGGAGCTCCGATGACCGATGCGGTCCGGCCCGATCTGCCAGTAAGAAAGAATCTTAAGCCGTTCGCCTTCACTCCGCCGTCCGATGGGCATCATGAGGGAACATTTCTTTTCCACCGGAATGGGCTACCGCAAGCGCCCGTTTTCATGATGATTCTCACCCTTCCCAGGCGTGCGGCGTGGCCACGTCAAAGTCTTTCTCTCAGAGGCTCCGTAAGGAATTACAGTGTCTCACCATGTCTCTCGCGACAGGCCGATGCCCCCTTCCGCATGGCCGTAGTTGGATCTGGTCCCGCTGGATTTTATACGGCATATCGTGTCATGTCTAAGCTTCCACAAGCCCGTGTGGACATGTACGAGGCTTTGCCGGTCCCGTTTGGTCTTGTACGCCACGGAGTTGCTCCAGACCATCCCGAAGTAAAGGTGAAGAAGCCGTTGCGCCTCCATTCTTGGAGCTAAATGATCTAACTAAGCCGCACATTTAGAACTGCAAAGACAAATTTGATGAAGTTGCTTCCTCTCCCAATTTTACGTTTGTAGGAAATGCCTCCATTGGTCATCCTGGGCATTTGGCAGAGCATTGCACTATACCTCTCAAGGTCCTCATGAGTCATTACGACTCTGTCGTCTTTGCATACGGGGCGGCAGAGGACAAGAAGCTTCACATTCCAGGCGAAGCATCTCTTAAAGGCATTTACTCAGCCCGCGAATTTGTCGGCTGGTACAATGGCCATCCAGATTGTGGCCAACATGAGCCAGATCTATCACGGGCAGAGGAAGCAGTCATCATCGGCCAAGGCAATGTTGCCTTGGATGTGGCCAGAATCCTACTAGAGGATGTCGACGTGCTAAGAAAGACCGATATATCAGATCGAGCCCTTGCACAGCTAGCACAAAGCCGCATTAAGAGGGTTCATGTTGTAGGGCGGAGAGGGCCAATGCAGGTAAGCAGAGGAACTGGGGCAAAGCTGCGTTCATCGTTGATTGCATGGCTAATTTCACTACTTTAGGCGGCTTTTACAATCAAAGAAGTGCGAGAGCTAATGAAACTTTCTGGAGTGGCTTTTCATGGAGCGGATAACTCGCTGATACCAGCAGCTCTTGATACCCTTCCAAGACCCACCAAGAGACTTATGGAGGTCATTCGAAAGGGAACGTCAGCCCGCGTTTCTGAGTCACCGAAAACTTGGTCACTAGACAACTGCTTGTCGCCAAAAGCCTTTATTGGAGACAGGCGGAACCCTTCTCTTGTAGGCAGCACCGAATTTTATGTAACGAAGCTGGAAGATCCATTCAACCCCCGATCATCCGTAGCTCGTACAGATGAAACCGTCACCCTTCCATCGGATATAGCTTTCCGATCTGTCGGTTACAAATCAGTGGCTCTACCGGGATTTGCTGAGGTCGGTATCCAATTCGACGAGAAGCGAGGAATCATCACCAACGACGGCCTGGGCCGAGCAACACAATCGTCAACCAACCCTGTTGAGTCCACCGGGACTCATCCACCGGCTCTGCCTGGCGTTTACTGCTCGGGCTGGGTTAAGCGAGGTCCCACTGGCGTAATTGCGTCTACCATGAGCGACGCATTCATAACTGGCGATGCTGTGGTGCACGACTGGCTGTCAGGGGCTCCCTTTCTAAGTCGCTCAGGAAACGGCACGGCTGAGGGATGGGAGGCAATCAAAGCTGATGTTGGCGCCCAAGCTGATGAAGTAGTCACCTGGGATCAATGGCGCCAGATAGACCAAGCCGAAACAGCGCAAGGGCTAACAAGAGGTAAACCTAGAGAGAAGTTCACCAGCATTAGAGACATGCTCAGCTCCATCAAATGAGGAGCCAGGGCATTGCATTGCATGTAACGTGTTGTACTATATTGTATTGTATTGTATTTGTACTATATGTGGTTGTTTAAGAGCTCTTAATCTTCTCTGTTAATTCCGGGACCTTTTCGAAGAGGTCACCGACGAGTCCGACATCGGCGATCTGGAAGATGGGCGCATCAGGATCTTTGTTGATGGCCGCAATGACCTTGCTATCCTTCATGCCCGCCAAGTGCTGGATGGCGCCTGAGATTCCAACGGCCATGTACAGCTGAGGGGCAACAACCTTTCCAGTCTGTCCAACCTGGAGACTGTTGTCTGCGTATCCACTGTCGACGGCGGCTCGTGATGCGCCAACGGCGGCACCCAGCGCATCAGCCAAAGGCAGCATGACCTTGTCGAATTCCTCCTTTGACTTGAGTCCACGACCTCCCGAGACTACCTTGCCCGCGGTAGAAAGATCTGGGCGATCCGACTTGGCCAAGTCCTCAGACACCCACTCTGAAGCAGCCTCTGATTTGGCATCCACTCCGCTCTCGATGGGGGTAGAGGCCTGTTCGGGGGTTGCAGCGGGAAAGGCTGTGCCACGGATGGTGAGAATCTTGATGGCATCGGTAGATTCGACGGTAGCTATGGCGTTTCCGGCATATATGGGGCGGACGAATGTCTTTTCGTCTTCGATAGCTGTGACATCCGAAATCTGCTGCGAGTCAAGCAGGGCTGCGACTCTCGGTAGGACGCTTTTGCCGAATGCTGTGTGGCCGGCAATGACGTGGGTGTAGCCGCCCTTCTTGATGTTCTCAACTAACAATGGCGCATAGTTCTCTGGGAGACCCTAGCAGTTGAATTTGTGTTAGCATCGGCTATATGATCTCTCTGTTGAAAGTTGCGGCATCCAGACTTTGTCATAGGCACCGTTCTCTACGGTGATGATCTTTTCCAGCCCGTTTACTTTGGCAGCCTGCTCTGCGGCCGTTGAAACACTGCTGCCGGCCAGAAAGGCGTGAACAGAGCCTCCAAGCTTGGTGCCCGCTGTAACAGCACTGAGTGAGCCTTGAATCAGTTGGCCGTCTCGCTGCTCTAGGATAGCCAGCGTAGAGAGGGCATTGCTTCGGCTGTACTTGGACGCCTGTCGCAGGGTTGTGCCAAAGACTGCACCTCCACGCTTGGAGAGCAGTTGCCTAGTTAGCGACAACATGGTGAATCAATTGAGAGGATGCAGATGTCTAAGAGCATCACCTCTGGCCCAGAGCAGTTGGAAATAGGCTACTCTGAGCGGCTGGACGCGGCCCTCGGTTGTAGATTCGGCAGCCCGTTGCTCGCTCACAGATGAGTCACGTGGACTCGGCCTTTCAAGGAAGAACACGGAGCATTCGCGGTGCTGGTAGTTTCTGGTACGGAGTAACGCCGCCAAGGCAAGTAGAGGCCTTAAGTACCGAGTACCAGTTGAGGCCGGTTGCTTGTGAAAGGTGGGGCATAGCGGCAGTGAGGCCCTCAAGGTTGCGATTGAATTTGAGATGATCTGCTTAGGTACCCGTATCTGTCAAATTGGCATTGAAAGATGCAACATCATCATGTTAGATATTTAAGTAGTATCTTAACACCCATGACAATTTACATGTTGCAAAGTAGATGGACATGACTATCTGTACTCTGTAGCTGTATCTTCGTTTACTGTACGGATTATCATCATATTTAATCAGAATGTCTAATAACACAGAAAGTATTGCGTTGCTCCATTTTTTTTTTAATTAATGGAAAAGAAATAACACGGTTGCTAATGCATTTTAGTGGCTGAGTTGAGTCGTCACTGTAAACTCAATTGGCCTATCAAACGCTAGAACGGAACATGACCCTTTCGCGATCGCCTATCAAATCTCTTTGAAATGCGCCAGCAGTATTACTTCCAGAATCTCTATACATCAGCACTCTCTGCCTTGTAGAAGCCACGAATGATCGCAGCTCAAAGGCGCCTGGTAAGGTACGCTATGGAAGCTCTCTAACTGTTCTGCCATTCATTCGCCTTCATTCTTGCTGCATTCTTGGTCTTCGCATATCCTCGTCCACCATCATGGCCGCCATGGGCCGGTTGGGCTTCCTGGCCGTTGCAGTGGTTTTCCACTTGGTCTACATTTATTCCATCTTCGATATCTATTTTGTCAGCCCCATTGTATCTGGCATGCAACTGGTGTCAGTGGACCGTCCCGCAAATATAAAGAGTCCTGCGGATCGATTAGTCCTCTTTGTTGGTACGATTGTCACGGTGGCTTTCCAAGCTTGAACGCTCTGCTCGCCATAGATTCTTCGCTAACCTTTACTCAATAGGCGACGGATTACGTGCCGACAAAGCATTCCAAGCCTTTCCTGAGCCATATCCCGAGTCGGACGAAGACCTCATCCCCAGACACCTAGCTCCCTTTATTCGCTCCCGAGCCCTCCAGCATGGAACCTTTGGAGTTTCGCACACGCGTGTCCCTACCGAGTCCCGGCCTGGCCATGTGGCCATGATTGCTGGCCTTTACGAGGATGTTTCTGCAGTGGCAACGGGATGGAAACTCAACCCTGTCAACTTTGACAGCGTCTTCAACAGGAGTCGTCATACTTGGAGTTGGGGCAGCCCTGATATCTTGCCAATGTTTGAGCGTGGAGCTGTTCCTGGCCGTGTAGATGCCTATATGTATGCCGCCGATTTCGAAGATTTCTCTAAAGATGCGACGCATCTTGATATCTGGGTTTTTGACCACGTCAAAGATTTGTTCACCCAGGCTGCAACCAACAAGACACTCAACCGAGCCCTTCGACAGGACAAGGTTGTCTTCTTCCTTCACCTGCTCGGGCTGGACACAACCGGCCATGGTTTCAGACCTTACTCGAAAGAGTACCTGCACAATATCCAAATCGTCGATAAAGGGGTTCAAGAGGTGACAGACCTCATCCAGAAATTCTATGCAGATGATCGAACTGCATTCGTCTTCACGGCGGATCACGGCATGAGCGATTGGGGTAGCCACGGCGATGGCCATCCGGACAATACGAGAACGCCTTTGGTCTGTTGGGGCTCGGGTGTGGCTCCCCCTGTTCTCCATCCGGGAACAATTGCCCCGGGCCACGATGAATTATCGGCCGATTGGGGGCTGGATCATGTTCAAAGACATGACGTCGCACAGGCTGATATCGCTGCGCTCATGGCCTATCTCATCGGCGCCGAGTTTCCTGTAAACTCCGTAGGCAAGCTGCCTCTCCCATACTTGTCCGCAAATACCCGTCAAAAGGCGGAAGCTCTGTTGGCCAATGCTCGCGAGATATTAGAGATGTATAGAGTGAAGGAAGAGAAGAAAGAAGCAAACGAAATGAGATATAAGCCATATGGTGCCTTTGGCGGTGCAGGCCTTGCTCCGGCACAACGTGTGGCGAACATTGATCGACTAATCTCCCTCGGGAAATTTGAAGAAGCTATTGAGGAATCCGACGCCCTCATCAACCTCACCCTGGAAGGATTGCGCTATCTTCAAACTTACGATTGGCTATTTCTGCGAGCCTTGATAACAGTTGGATACCTCGGTTGGATAGCATATGCTATTACAACGGTGATCAACTTGTATGTGGTTCCGACGTCAACTGCACCCAAACGCAGCACCTCGACCGTTCTTGGGTTTCTTTCCATCTTGGCCGCACTATATGCGTCCTTCATAGCATCCAAGTCTCCTTCGACATATTACGCATATGCCCTCTTTCCCTTAGTGTTCTGGGAGGAGGTTTATGCTCAGAGGGAGAACCTGAAGGAAGGAGGCCGGTTGCTCTTTGGGCATATGGGATCAGCTAGCCATATTGCAGCCTTTGCTGTAAATGCAATTATTTACTGCGCCGTTATAGTATCTTTGGTAAGCTTATGCGTAAATGACACTATGAATGTTGCTGACTCGATGTAGGCCCTCGGCTACATTCATCGGGAGATCCTGACTGGTCTGTTCATCTTGGGAACAGTATGGCCCGTCGTGTGTGGCACGTCCTTTATCCGCTCCAATGCTCTCCTCAGCATAGCATGGGCGATATCTTGTTTGGTTATGAGCACTTTCACGCTCTTGCCAGCAATGAAACACGAGAACGTTGACATGATGTATGTTACAAATATCTATACAAGTGGCCTCCCTTGTCTTTATCAAATCTAACATGTTCGAATAGTGTGGCCAGCGGTGTGATCATGAGCGTGATTGGAGTGCTCTATATGATTTTTGAGCCTTTCGTACTGTCCGACTTTTCCTCTGAGAGTGCCAAGTCCAGTAATCACACAAATTCCTTGGTTGCTCGGGTGGCAACGGGTATTCAGGTATGTTTGCTTTGAGCCTCTACATCATATATACACGAGAAAGGTACTAAATACGCATCACAGGTCGGCCTCATTATCCTTGCCACAATAGTGACACGCTCCAGCTCCCTGTCAATTCAAGCAAAGCAGGGCTTGCCTCTGGGGAACCAGATCATGGGATGGATTGTTCTTGGTATGTTTTCTGATACGAAATATTGTCCCACTAGTATATTGGCCGGAAGTTTTAACAACAGAATAGTATCATCTTTCTTGACCCCGTTACTACATCGGTTATCGCCAAACAGCAATTTCATGCACCGCCTTGCCATGATGTTCTTCACGTGCGCTCCGACATTCATCATCTTCACAATATCCTACGAGGGTCTATTTTATGTTACTTTCTCACTTCTGTTGGCCATTTGGGTACGTCTAGAGTATCGTATCGAGACGTTTGGCAAAAGCCAAGCCGCCAGCACGAATGGGTCTGCAAAGACCGACAAGGCCGTATCGCATCGACCCTTGCGACTATCGGATGCGCGTGTTTCCCTGTTCTTCATGGTCCTCCTTCAGTCAGCTTTTTTCAGCACCGGAAACGTTGCATCCGTTTCGTCATTCAGCTTAGACAGCGTTAATCGGCTGATCCCCGTGTTTGATCCATTTTCCCAAGGAGCACTTCTGATTCTCAAGTTGATGATCCCATTTGTTCTCATTTCCGCAAATCTTGGCGTTTTGAACAAGCGACTTCAAGTGGCACCGTCAGCCTTCTTTATGGTGGTCATGGCAGTCAGCGATATCCTAACCCTCTACTTCTTCTGGGTTGTTAAAGATGAGGGCTCTTGGTTGGAGATAGGATCCACCATCAGCCATTTTGTTATTGCCAGTCTTTTGTGCGTATTTGTTGCACTACTCGAAGGAGTCAGTGCCATGTTCATCAATGGGATTGATGTTGGTGACGGGTCGTCCCAAAGCCCGAAAATCCAGGCCAACGGCAACAAGGACTCGAAGAAGGAGACATAGTTATCAAAGGACGACGAGTGAGCATATGAGACCCGCCCGGCTACTTTCAGTTGCGAATAGAGAAGCTGTGGGTACCTTGATTATGACTATACGATTATATCTTGCATTAGATTTAGAGATTAGTAGAGATATATTGCTTACGTATGTACCCTTCTTTGAACGGACGAAAAAAATAGACTGATCGTTATTCATACATACTGCCCCATGCTCTCTGATACCTACTCTGGAAGTTTTATGCCTAGTTCTTGGGATTTATCTCTTACAGCCTGTACAGCGCCATCAGGATTCGTTTCGCCAGGGTTTCGTAGCTGCCAAGCCAGGCATACGTCTAAAGCTTTGCCCGTCCAGACGCCTGGTGGGATGCCCAGCGCTTTAGCTAGAGCGCGGCCATCTATGATACGTTTCAGATTTGGAGCGTCGTAGACGTCAAGCTCTCCGAGATGTTTGAGGAATTTGTCCCATCCTCCAATAAATTCGTCACGGTCTATGATGAGTCAGTCAGTCAAAAATTTCCTTTAATCTCAGCGTTCGTTGTGTTTCGGAGCAAATGCTTACCCTTGCTATCTCCTGTAGGAAAGTCTTCCAGCTGCTCCATGACATCGGCCAGTATCACCCCCAAGACCTGAAGCTTCCAGTTTCCACCCACCGCTTCCCAATTTCTGATGGCCATACCGAACGTGTCGCGCTCGTGTATTTTCGGTGCAGATTCACATACCGCCTTCTTCAGTTCCAGTATCTCAGCACGATGTTTGTGGCAGGCTCCCATAATGGTTGTGAGCTTATTCGAAGCTTTGAAACCTTCACGGGCAATGATGCCAACTGGTGGGAGAGCATTCGCCTTCTTTTTGCCTCCAGATCGATCTTCTACGGGAATCCAGGGGCTAACAGCAGCGAGATTCCACGCCAGGTATGTGGCCTCATCGTCGTCAACCAGTATCTGGCATATCGATCCAGGAGCGCGATTCTTCAGTAATTCGTCGAGGCAGCTATACGAAACGTACCATCGAGATATATCAGGCATAGATGTATTTTCTTGCAGCGGATCACTGAAGATGGCCTGGTAGAGACCAAGGCGATCTATCAGCTCCAGGGCCACTCGTGGGGTTTTGCCTTTATTGGTTCATGTCAGTTTGCCGCTCCTATCATGAGGCGATGAGCCCGTAGGCTTACCTTTTAACATTTTTTCCAGCTCGACACCAACCCTTTCACGACTGATTTTTTTCCGGAGAGCCTCAAGTACCCTCTTATCACTCATGAACTTTTCTGACTCTGCGTCTATGGTAAAACCTAGCCGAGAAGCGAATCGAATTAGGCGCAGTACCCTAAGAGGGTCGTCCATGAATGTTTGAAAAGGCTCCAAGGGTGTTCGAATTGTCTTCGCATCCATATCACGGATACCGCCAGTAAAATCTTCAATCTGCTCCGTGTGCAAGTTATAAAATAGGGCGTTTATGGTGGCGTCACGACGAAGAGCATCTTCCTCTGCAGTTCCAAACTCCATCTGAGGATTGCGACTATCTTCGGCATATGTCTCTTTGCGAAGATTGACAAAATCCAAGTCCATACCAAACAACTTGACCATGGCAGTCTCGAGATGCTTAGACTTGTCCGGATTGCTTGCGATGTGATGAAGCCTGCCGATGTCTCCAGGGGCAAATCCATGAGTCTGAGCGGCGTCAGGTTGTTGGCAATACTCTGAAAGGTGCTGTGCAAACTGCTGTCCGGTCATGGCGTTGATTGCCACATCAATGTCGTGGCTCTCTGTTCCCAAAAGCCTGTCTCGCACCCATCCTCCCGCCCAACGTAGCACCAGCGGCTGGTCAAGCTTAACCGTCGTATCGATGAATTTGGCAACATTTACGAGGAGAAGCCGGAGCTGCTGCTCCCGCTGGGTGAGCTGAACAGATCTGTTTGTCGACATGGTGGTGTTTAAAGCTGTATCTCCCAGAAATGCGCTGAGTTTCCTCTTCATCATGAGGCGAGGGCCATATAATCGCGACAACATAAAATGCGCTGTTGCATTATCCCCTGCTTTATTGCCAGTTAGTCATCTCACCGGTGGTTGTGAGTAATGAGTTTTTGAGTCATACGAGGCGTGAGTTAAACGTTGAACTTTAGAGAGGTCTGCGATAAAGCTGTGCCTGATAAGCTACCCTAGAAAGTATGGGGTAGCTCTGGAGCTGCATTAATGGTGGACGTATTGAATAGTGTCGCAGGCAGCCTAAAAAAAAATCCAGAGCTACAACTAGGAGGATTCTGAGAGTCGCATGTGGCCTTGAGTACATTAAAGTATTCAATCGAAATGAATTAATTGTTCGAATGGCACGGGAAAATTACTTTGACGATGAGCCATACGGAATGTGACAGGGCAGCGTGTGACGTCATTACAATGTTTTGCTTGCTTCGTTCCATAATATCTTGCTATTCCATGCCGTTACGAACATTATCTGCCCACGATGGCATAATATCTCTACACACTGCCTCATAATCTTTTAGTTTCTGTCCCCTGGCGCTCAGCTCCAGAGTCGTCCAAAACATCGCCCAATTGCAACCTGCCAGCTTACTGGTCCCTACCGACCGCTCAAAATACCACTTGTTGACGGGGTTGTCTTTTCTGCTCCTCCAAAGCACGCCGTCAGGAAAACAGTCTCGGACCATGGCGTTGAAAATGATGTCGGCAACCCCTCCACTACCTTGACGGCTCCGGAGGACGGCAAATTTGTCGAGATATGGAACGAAGCGCCCCTGCTCATAGGCCACCCGAGGGTCGATGTCGCTGGGTTTCTCCCAGGTCAAAATGGCACATCCTTCGTATTCTCCTGCAATGATGACCCCAGCCAAATTTTCTTTCGTTCGCCGCAGGTAATCATCCACGTCTAGCTTGCGGCCGAAGGAATCTTCAATCAGAGTGACAAGTCGCTTCAAATCGATCTCTCTGTCTGACAGCTGCAGACGACGCTCTCCAGGAGCCGGAGGACTCCATGGCGCCCTCCTTGGATCGGGGTAGATGGCTAATGGCATACCTCGTTTGACAAGAGTTGCATCATTCGACTCTGTCGTATTCAAATATGCCAAATCAGGAGAGTGAATGCGCTGGAGCGGCAACGACGGGGAGAACACCGGCTTGTCAGTGAGGAGATTGTGAAGCAGGGGATTTTGTTTTCTGCGAGTCGTGACCATCCCATCAAACCCGAATTGATACTCGCCGTTTCGTGTTGGAGAAAGCCCTAGGGGCGAAGAGTTGGATGATGTGTTGGCGGCCGCGAATGGGGTAGTTATGAGAACGGAAGCTGTCTCTGGTAAAAGAGAGAGAGTATCCCTTGCTAACTTGATGTTTTTGGCATGGGATCTATTTGCTTCCTCAGATCGACTGTTTTCTGATTTTGATGAGCTTTCATCACCCTTCAGATAACTCTGAAGCGTGTCATATTCTTGCTCGAGATTGACAAATCGCTGACAGACGCCGGGACGACCAGGCACAGGAGTACCTCCGAATGAATCAAGGATAATGACTCTTTCAACAGAAGCAAGCGGTTCAGCACCCTGCCCAGAACCCCCGTTCTGACTGTGATCGGGATCTCGCTCGAACTGGATTCCCGTAAAGTATCTCGTTAGTGCAAGAGAAGTTCTTTGAGCATCAGCAGGCGCGGGTGAAGTAATTTCATCGTTCCGCGCAAGAGATGGAATTACTGTGATCATGTTATGTTGAAGTGCCCGATTGAGGATACCATAATCGTGAACATATATGTCATCCCAAAAAGGAGAAGGCGAAGCCCCATGATAATGAGAAGTACCGACAAGTATGTGTTCAACCAGCCTAGCGCCTGGTTTGCCAAACGAATCGATAGCCTCACAGAGCTTCAAAGCTTCGTTCTGAAAGGTGGAACGGCTCTCTCCTACATCGCAATCCACAACAACAACACTCAGAAGGCCAAGAACCCGAAGCTGGGTTAATGTCTTGGCTATTCCATTTATTGTGTCTGGCTGTAGTTTCTGAGGGTTCCGTAAGACCACAATGGCTACATCGAAGGGCCGTTGGGCTTGAAGCTGCTTTGAGAGAGGCTTGTGCTGATGCTCAACTTGCTTCGATGCTCCAGCTGTGGAAGTGGGCTTTGGTAGAGCATATTTTTGAAGATAGCCTTTGGCATCTCGCCTTGTGGCGGATGACTCTAGAACGGATACAATGACATCCTGCTACAGTGTTAATCGTTTCAACTGGTCCATTGGCATAATCATACAAAGTTGCCGTGATCTGAAAATTGTCATGCGGCTAATACGCACCCGATCAAGTTTTTGCTTCTTCGCTCGGCTTGTCGTGGGCGAAGAAAAGCTGCGAGCAATTGAGTTCCCAAATGTCCCAATTGCTGCTCTATTTCTCGCTACGGAGCAGTTTAGAGAGGATGAACATCGCGGGGTCAGCTTTTTTCTGAAAGAAAGTATGCCGCAAGTAGGATGAGAAGAGCTGATGTTGGCACGGGTCCAGTATATGCTAGAGGCCATACCGCATCTCGGACCCCCGGAAGGGAGCCTTGATGAGGTTGTGAATCCAGAAATGCCTTGTGTAAGATGAATTGATAGTGCTCGCAACCCCGTAACTGCAGGTTCACTTCAAGAAATACATCCTGAGAGATATCTTGCCGGGGGGTAAGTCGAGAGATTTCTGTAGATAAGAGGTGGATGAGAACAATTCAAGCAGCAGTCATGAGTGAGAGCAAGCAACAAGAGCAAACAATGATGACTTGTCAATCCAACGGCCGATTATGGACACTGATTAGTTAATTACTGAGGCATTGGAGGGGGTAACAAAGCATTGATGCCCTGTCGTGCACGTTGCAGTTGATCTTTGATAGGAAATTCTTCTAGTGTGGAGTTTCATGTGCTTGCTCGGTACCTGCACCGCAAATTCCCGGTGCCAAGGGACCTAACGCACCTATGACTCTGAGCCGTTACCGGCCATTTCCACCGAGGTTCGTCATACCTTAAATGGACCTTCAATGATATTGAGATAAGTCATTCAATTCCTCTCATACCAACAACTATCTCATGAATAGAGTATAAACACACTCTCAGAATTTTAATAACTTCTCTCCCCCTCCAACGACATTCTGCTCAATTTCCCCCTCCTAAATCAAATGTTCACTCGTTCCGTAATATGACTCACTAATTAATTCATTCCTCCATAGGAAATAAAACTGCAGGTAACCTACCAATTACATACAAGGATGCATGCAATAATTCGTCTCAAAACTCGCTCCTCAGCCACGCTTTCAGGCTGCCTTTGGGGTCATAAAACGCCTAGCCCATGAATCGTGACTCACACCGATTGATGATTTTCTCAGCTTGTCACCATTGCAATTCGTATCCTGAGGTTCGAGTCTCACAAATGGCCAAATTCGCGGGTTCTTATATGTATTTATTACTCTGGGTGTTGGAGGAAAGACGACGCGGTTCTCACTCATCACCGGCTTGCCCTCCGCCAATCGCTCATTAATTCTTGAATAATATACACAACTGTCAATCTCCAAGATTTTATGAATAATACATCTCTCTCTTCAAATCAATCCGTGCAGACATCCGCGTTTCCAATGGAGCAAGTACCAGTTGATGCGACCGCTGAGCGGCGCTTTGCAGAATCTCACGATACTGCACTCTGTTTGATACCTCCACCACAATCCTGGGGACCTATCAATGCGCTGCGGTCACTCAACGATGAAAAGTTCACAAAATGGCCGCCGCATGTTACTCTTGTTTATCCTTTTGTCACTCCAGAAGCCCTTTCCGATGTGACCGAGGCGCTCTGCCAGCATAAGATTGCATCTCAGGACGAGGACATCTCCATCAGCTTAGAGGAAGCTGGAGTCTTTTCACACCGTCGAAGAAGCACCGTCTTCATTCGGCCAAAACCTGGACACCAAGTCAATCGTCTCTCAGAGCTAAGAGATCAAATATACCGCTTTCTCGGCTGGCCCAAAGGCAGAGATTACCGGCCTCACTTGACGCTCGCTCAGAGCGAGGATTCTCAGGCATCATGGCACCAGTTTCTCCTGGAAAAGGCTCGGCTTTTGACGCCGCTGACATGGCATACCCATCAGCTCGCAATAATGATACGTGATCCTCTATCGCCGAACAGCACCGCAGCCTCGCGACCAATGAGACTTTGGGGATACATCGACCTGATATCTCAGTCTGTTGTTCGCGATCCCACAACTTTAGCTGTAATTCCTACTCTGCCAGTCGATGTTTCTCTGCCACGTCCCCAGGCCACATTTCATCATGATGGAGTGAACATGTCATGGGAGCCTCTTTCAGATTCCATCACTGACGCAGATGTTGACCCAACTCAGCTCAATCGTCTTGTTATCGCCTCTTACAATGTCCTAGCCGAGTTTGACTGGCCACCGAGCTCATCTCGTTACCCAATACTTGTGGGCAATATTCTCTCGGAACGCGCCTCGGCTGATATCCTTGTTCTTCAGGAAGTCACCGACCAGTTCCTCGGCTTTCTGCTGTCCGACTCCAACATTCGCTCGCAATATCCTTACGCCACTCATGGACCACCTGATCAACATGGGGTTGCTCCTCTACCTAGCCACTTAAATATCGTTGTTCTAAGCAAGCTTCCATTCCAGTGGGGATATCTTCCGAGCTTTAAACACAAGGGGTTTGGGATTCTCAAATTCCCAACAGTTCGAACTAGCGGACCTTCAGACTCTCCCCCGATGCCCCTAGTATTGGCAGCTTGCCATCTCAGCAGGGGCTTAACCGACGCTGCCCTGGCTACCAAACGAGACGAGGTGAAGAGACTTACTGAGTACTTGAACTCTTCGTTTCCACAACATCCATGGATAGTCGCCGGGGATTTCAACTTGACCTCGTCTTCGCACACAATTGATCAAGCGCTACAAAGGGGCGAAATTTCTGAAAAGGGCCTCGAGCATCTTGAAGAAATTGAGGCTACCGTGTCCAAGGCTGGGCTTCAAGATGCATGGTTAATTTCTAGAGTTGGCCCTGGCGAATCTTCGAGCACAACTGGAAACCATGAATCAGACCTGGGACTTTATGAGGGAGAACAGGGAGCAACTTTTGACCCAATCTCCAATACTCTTGCTGCGGCCTCTGTCGGCGCCGGTGGCAACCGCCCACAGAGGTATGATAGGATTTTGGTCACCAAATCTGCTCAATTACAACCTCATGGATTTAACATGTTCGGCCAAGCTATGGACTCAAGCGGGAGTAACTCCCAGAACCAAGCTAGCGACCACTGGGGTATCCGCTGCCTTCTTATGCTGTCACCATCCAATGTGGGCGTTGATAGTCCCTCTAGTTCCAAGTATCAGGAAATCAACCTACGCAAAGCCTCTCTTACATGGGGTAGCTTTGAGGAATTGAAAGCCAGTTTGGTATCCAATGGCCAATTTCCTTCCGCTTCGGATGCGGAGCTGAGACAAGAAGCAGTGGCTCTCCTGCAAAGGACTTTGTTAGAGAACGATGCGACTGATGACGCTGAAAAACGCTCACAAGTTCAGCTTGTTCTCATCCCTGTTGGATCGTTTGGCCTCGGCGTGTGGACCAGCTTGTCAGACATAGACTGTCTCTGCGTGGGTAACATAAGTTCCAAGACATTTTTCTCTTTGGCGGTGCAAAAGCTGAAGAAGGCTTCAACGAACGGTATCAAAATCCTGCGTCGTGTCATGGCCAATACCGGAACAATGCTTGAGTTAGAAATCCGTGGCATCAAATTTGATCTTCAGTATTGTGCTGCCGCAGCAATCGCTCAGGGGTAAGATTTGGATATCTCTTCTCTTTAGCCTATTTTTTTTCTACTGGAATTTGCTAACGACACAAACAGATATCCCGATGTTCTGAAACGACCTGCATCAGACCCTATCTTCTCCTTACCAGTACAATCAATAGCAAAACTTAAACCTGCTCGAGATCTCTTCTACCTACGAAGGTCCATTCCTGATATGACCAAATACCGTGTGGCGCATCTTTTCATCAAGGCCTGGGCACAATCCAGAGGCTTGTACTCGGCAAAATTCGGATTGTTAGGGGGCATTCACATCACCTCTTTGCTGGTGCCAGTCTGCAAGGCTTTGGCAAATGAACCCGAGGCAGCCTCCACCGCCGATATTCTGACCTCCTTTTTCCACCACTACTCAAAGTTCGATTGGAAAACAGGGGTGGTATTCGATCCTTTTTACCATCGTGACTTGAAATACCATCGCACTTTTAGGGAGCCACTTTGCCTGCTTGGTTGGCATGGGCCGTCTCTAAATACTGCGTCCAGTGCCTCCATCTCCACTGTCAATGCTTTGGCTTCTGAGTTTACCAGAGCTGCAGCCCTTCTTTCCCAAGATGATATGACATGGAACAAGTTTCTCGGTCTGGAGCTCTCTGGAACACCGTCGAGCTTGATAGAGAAAGGAGGTGCTGATTTTCTTGATTCATATCGAACGTACATTAAAATAAGTGCCCGCTACTGGGGATCTTCCCAACAGAAAGGGAGAAAGTACCTGGGCTGGCTAGAATCGAGATTTATATCTATACTCGTTGGTAAGTGTCTTGACGAATGCCATGAATAACACAGCAAGTACTCACCTGCAAACTAGACATAAGCCGAAAGACTCTAGGCATTGTACCTCGTATCTGGCCAGCCAGATTCATAGACGAAGAGCCAACCAACGGTGCCGGTGACGAGCTTTCGGAGCTTTCGGCATGCTATCTGATAGGCCTTAAGTGGGTTGACAGTATTGCAGACAAGTCTGCAACGAGTCAGGCCGCCGCAGAAGGGAACATCCGTGTCATTCTCCAGGAATTCGAATCTCGCATCCAGAAGAGCGACAAATACTATGACGCTGAGCACTGTTGGATGAGCGCCTCCATCATGCGCCGATCTGGCCTCGGCCCTGTGAAGCTCGCACCCGAACAGCTGTACGAGTACGATGGTGCCGATACGGATCTGGACGACGATGAAAGCGATTTGGAAGAGGAAAATGAAGCAGATGGCGAAATTTACGTATCTTTAAGAGAGTATCGGTCACTGAAAACAGGCACCTCCAAGTCTACATCCGAAGTTGTAAAGCCGGCTGGGGCAGGCAAGCTCCGCAGCGCAGTCGACGCCATGAATCGCATCCGATGGGATTCAGGCATGGACTCTAGTGATTACCTAGTTGGGTACGAAGATCGTTTTCTTGGAGCTCAGGAGAAGGCGCTGGACAGCTGGAGAACCGAACAGACGGACGAGGAATTCATTCCACAGCACCGAATCTTGTACTTCAAGCGTAAGAGCGATGGAGTGATTGTGTGGGACAGGAGGACACGAGTGGACACGATATTTGGTAGCGGATAAAGAACGTTCAAAGTTGATGAGTTAAGGATGTATTGGTATATTAAAGTAAAAATATTATATGCTTATAGGGTTGGTTATCACATCTAGTGCTATTGCGCGTAGCATATAGTCAAATCCAGTTTGAGCAGCCATGCGTATAGAGGCCATCCAGTCCGGGTCTGCTTTGATATGCTGCCCAGAAGCCACCCTTATTTCTGCATTTCTCTGTTTGAGTGATTTATTCCACGGTTGACATTTAACTGCGCGGTTGATAGGGAACTCGTTCATCTAGGAAGAGGCCAATATTGCTTTGAACCAGTAAGTCCTTTGGACTGTAAATCCCCTGACGGATACTCATTCAACCTCGTGCGGTCCTGTGTGAGATGTGTCGAATCTTTGGTATTATCGCATGCATCTGCCACAGATCCTCAAGACGCCTAAGAGGCAAGGCTCATAAATACGCCTGCAATCGACTGCTTGTCATACTTGACGTATTTGCCCTTTCCTTTATCAATCTCATGGTAACGATCCCAAAATCGTTCATACAAGGGCTGCAGCTTTTGACGAATGTCTTGACCAAACATTGCTCGTACTTCACGGTCCATGCTGTACGATTTGTGTTTGCCTACCATGTCGTCAAATGCATTGTTGAACTGCGTAAACTTCTCCTTGATCTTGTCCTTGTCCTTGCTGTTCAGGCCCTTGACTACCGATGCAGAGTCGGCAGTATCCGCATGGCCAGAAGTTGGGCGCTTGGTTCGGTTTGTGTGGATGGTATCGAATAGATAGACAGATATGTCCCTACAGATATCGGTGTACATAACAGTGGCCTTCTTCCTCCACTGATCAAGCGAATCAAGACGACCATCAAGCAATGGCCCAAGCTCTGAACTGCGAATCGTATGATCTATCACGACAACACTGTTGGCCAAGAAGACGCCTAACAGGGACTTGCTTCTGAGCAGCACGCGGGCCTTTTGGTCCAAGGAGGAGAGCAGAACCTCAATAGTGTCAAGGCAATATTTGGCGAAGAGGTCTTTACCGTCGGCGCCGACATCAAACGAGGCTAGACTCGGTATTCCCTCTGTTGTGCGACCGTTGGCAGCAGCTCCAGGCTTCCAGCCACCGTCGCCGAGAGATATCATGATGCTTGAAATGGGCCTTAAAAACTCCACCATGGAGTTCAATCGCTGCATTGTCTCCGCCACGATGGGGCTTGCAGCTCCATCCGTTGGAAGTGTCTGTAGGTTGCCTATTTTCCGCTTGGTTTCTTCTAGCAACTCGGCGAGAGAAGACTTGGCCGTCTCACGGACGGGTTTGAGAGCGGCAGATAGTGAGCTCTTCAGCTCACCCGTACGCTTGTCAAGGTTATTCGAAAGACCGGAGATGATTTCGGTAACTTCGTAGGCCATGTAGCAGTCGGTGGTAAGATGGGATTTGATGTGTGTATTGAGCTCTCGCAGAGTTCGGGCCAATTCAGTCACAGCAGCCTGGCATGTCGCCTGCAGGATGGGGCCCCAATCCTCACGCGTGAAGATACTGCAGATATTGTCATATTCAGCAATGAAGATTCCCTCCATAGCCTGTGTGTATGTTCCAATACCATTTGCGCCTGCTTGGTATATATCGCCTGGGTTCTTCTTCTTGGCGGTATTGACACTCGCCGCGGCCAAATTGGCCAGAGACGCTGATAAATATGGCCCTCGTATATCGGCGTATATCTTGGCGACAGAAGACTCGAAGCCATTCGCGTAGTTTCCCGCAACATGAGAGTAAATAAGGCCTAGCCGAGCAATCTTGTCTTGGGAAAGCACGGGAAAGGGCTTGTCTTTGGTGATGTAGTGGAGCGGTTCGAGTGATCGGGGGGTTTCGCCGCGTAGAATCTTGTCGAAATGGTTCTCTAACTGCGTATTGCCCAGCTTGATGAGGCGGGTCAGGTCATTCATGGTACCCTGATTTGCGCGCAGGTTAGAAGTCTGCATTTCCTTGTATGAAATGCTTAGTCGCTTGATGGAAGCCAAGTAGTTCGACAAGCCGGCCTTTTCAGGTCCGGATCGAATGATTTGCTCCTCATCATCTTTGCTATCCGAAGGTTGACGTAGGCGATCGATGGCAGCAAGCACAGACTCGACATCTAGCTCCCCTACTTAGCAGTGACTCCAGCTTTGACAAGAGAGTGTGACTAACTTTTAGAGAGTGTTTGGAGACGCCTCGTTTCTCCGTTTAGAGGACCAGCGACATCTCGTACGCTCTGGCCCGTAGCTTCGAGTCGGCCGAGGGAAGCTTGGATCTTCTTCGTCAATTGGGTTGTTCTATCGAGCCTGGAATTTAACACATCAACCTCTGCTCTAGCTTCCTCATCTATAGCATGGTATGTGCTATTGGACAAAGCCCCAATAGCCATGACGCGTGCGACAGAGATTCGGCTGCTTGAAAACGAAGAGAGTTGAAGAGCAATGTCATCGACAATACGGAGTGCAGGGGGAGTAACGTATCTGGGGGCTAGCGGGAGATTCGCCGACCGATAAGAGCTAGATTGCATTACTCTAACAGTAAACCAAGATTAGATAATCAACTTGGGATATAAATGCAAGCAACATTTACACATCGTGGGCCAGAAATGGGAAAAATTCTCTGCGCAGACATTAAATATAATCGTTTTATTAAATTGAGCTGAGAATGATTGAGACAAGCAAATTTGATCTATATGCTTGGTTCTTGGTTTAAAAACTCCTCGATTTCTTGGTATACATGATTGAAGTCGGCTTCTTCATCTATTCCCTTGGACCAGTTATAAGTCAAGTCCTCATTTCGACTTAATAATTCTCCTATGACCTCTGCTCGGTCGGTGATAATCTCTGGGATTCCACTTATTCTTGCACATTGGCTGCCCAAGCTTGTCGAGCTGTATCCCTCAACCAGCTTGAACAAGTAAATGACTTTATCTTCCGCATCGACTGCATTCGAATCAAGTTTCACCTCCATGTGCGCTAATGCGAGTTGATTATGGTGATTCAAATAGCTGTTGGCAAATATTTCGTAAAAATGCGTAGCCGCCAATACTTTTGGTGACTGCGCTGCTGAGGAAAGAAAATAGTCTAGCATTGCTGTGAACATCCCAACACCATCATCGGCTGTAGTTCCATTTCCAAACTCGTCCAGAATGATCAGACTTCGTGATGTAGCATATTTCATGGCATGTGAGACTTGTTTGAGATCCAGTGCAAAGGTGCTTCCAGTACTCGACACGCTCTCTCGTGACGAGATCCGAGTCAAGATTTTGTCCACCGTGCCTATCACGGCTTTATCAGCTGGTACATAGCTCCCTATATGTGCCAAATAAACGATAGCTGCAACCTGTTTGATGTAAACGCTTTTCCCAGACTGGTTTGGTCCAGTCAACACTAACGCTTGGACTCGACGTCCTGGTGCCGTATTGTCATCGCCGATGAAGCAATCGTTGGGGATAAATGACGGAGCCAGCAACTCCTGTAGCGGATGTCTTCCGCCTGTGATGTCAATGATGTTTTCAGTTGTCATCTGAGGTGCGTTCCAGCCATACTTTGTAGCGCCAATAGCAAGAGCAAGAAGGGCATCGAACTCTCCGCAAATAGTTGCAGCTGCCAAAAGCGTGTTCTCCTGGGCGATAATATCCACGGCTAGCTTCTGCATCACTTCGACTTCTCTGTCTTCTGATTGTTAGTAAATCTGAGAGCTTAGTCGGGCGACACGAATCCTACCGCTGATTTGGGAGTATATATCTCCATACTGGTTGTCGAGATCCGTCATATGACGATTTTTATAGTAAGCCTTTTCATTATCGACGAACGATTTCTTCCATCGGCCATCGTTTGTACATTCCAAATCAAATCCACCATTCGTTTGCTGGGACTCTTGCTCGACTACAGTCAAAAACCCAAGCTGAGGAAGAAAAATGCATGATTTGATATGCCGACGTGCCCATGTTGGCAAATCTTGAGTGACACTATTGGCGACCTCTGTCAAGAGGCTATTCATGCCATCGTACTGCCGTTTTAATGCATCCAATTCAACATCAATGCCGGGCTTGACTGAATAGCGCTGCTGGAACTTGGTCTCGTCAAAGTTGACAACTCTATCAATCATGCTGCCTACCTGATTGAAAGCCAGTGGAGGAATTCCGTCGAAAATCTAAGTTGTTGTTAGAACCAGTGTCGGACAAGGTTTAGGCCACTCACTTTGCGAATAATACTACCCTGATTTGGGCTGGACAAAGCAATTGCAACTTCTCTGAGTTTGAGGGATTGAGATGCGAATCTTCTTAGTGTACCCTATACACTAATGTTGAATGCTCTGTGAGAAGATGGAGAGTTTATTCCTTTGTGAAGATGTGACATTGTATGTGCTATATTTCCCATTTTTCGTACAATAGAGACGGCTCGTCTTGTCTTTTCCTCGTTGTTGGGTTCCAGAAGCATGGAAATAGTGCGTTGTCTATCAGCGATGATGTCGAGGTTTGATGTAGGATTAAGAAACATGTGTCGGAGGTGGGTTCGGCCCTGGGGGGTGGAAGCCAATGGATGAAGGAGACCATATATCGAGAGATTCTCTTTTCCAGCCGAGCTCTTAGAGTCGACGCTCCAAGCTTGGCTATTTGGGTGTGACTCGTGATTGATAATCTGTAAGGAGAGGAGGGACTCCTCGCTGATAAAAACATGATCCAATAAGTTAAACATTGTAATAGATACCACATTAAACCGGTTCTCTGTGACAGAGCTGCTTAAAGACGATGCGAGTGAACGACGTCGATGTAGCTCTGTAAAAATGGCGCCTGCGCAGCTTAACTGTTCTTATGAGTACTCACTTAGACATCAACTTTGATGCGATTTTCTACTTACAGATGCAACACTATCCAGGTCAATTAAAGAGCCGCACCGGATCAGTTTCATGCAATGAGGCTCTTGGCGATTGGGGGTTTGTGGAGCTTGTATATTGTTTTCACCGGATTGCCTCTCAATATTTGATGGAGATGCAATCGGAAATGAAGAAACTCCATGAGGATATAGCGACGACAACTCTTCGCAAGCAAACATGTGCGAGAAATCAGAAGAGGACATTAGATGTAAAACAAGTCTTGCTATTCAAGCAAACAAGGAATTAAAAGGATTAGCTTTGTCAGATGCTGAATGCACAGGAAAATGCTCACCTTCGGCATTCCTCTCAACATGCTTTTCAACAAAGGCCAAGATTGTTTCCGGAACTCGCCGCGACATCAGAATTGTCGTCGCCTGCGCGAAGTTGAGAAACTGCTCTGCTACATTTTCGTTCACCATAGGTATGTCATTCGCTATCTTGAGAACACCGTCGGCCGTGGAGAAGATGCTGCATCCCATCATCTTCTTGTCTCTGACGTCTATAGCGATGATGGACTCTTCGAGGTCGTGGGTCCCAGCATCTTGGTCGCCCGCGACATCTTCTGCGGCTTCCATCACGAAATATCTCAATAGGGGGACGCGTACGAGGCGTGGACGTCTTTGGAAGGGAGAAGTTGTTAGGGCGTAAGATTAGTATATTAGTAGGTGCCTAGGTAGCAGCGAGTAGACGATGCAACAATGAAAGGCAGGAGCGATGCGATTCTCCCGGTATCTCACTTATCGATAGGATCATGTTGCTTAGGCAAGAGCCGAGTACAATACATCACCACAACCACTGGGCAACGAGAAGCGGAAAAGAAAAGTAATCGATTTATAATTAGATATGCGCCATACGCCCCCGACAAGACTGTAGCAGTATTATTCCTCGCTGTTGAACATAGATAGGCACAGGCGCCCAGAACTCTGCGACAACGTCACCCGTATTATTTATAGGGATGATACGATCTCGTCCTCCTCCACGCGAATCGAGTGCTCCGAGCCCATTGCTTGTACCGTCGAGAGTGCCTTCTCCGGCGCGATTACAGCAAAGCCCCTATGAGAATGTTAATAAATGCCTTGGACTCTTAGAGTTGAGAAGAAACATACTTGATGATCGTGTAGACATGTGTGATTTTGCCACCAGCTTTGAGGATATTGTCCTTGACTTGGTTGACAAACGAATCTGGAGTGGAGGCGTCATCAAACCAAATGATGGCTGACTTCTTTTGATCAACAGCAGAACCGAGTTGGAAAAGGCTGAGAGCCGCGACAAAAACCAGGCTGTACTTCATATTGGCTGAGGTGAGTGAGTAGTGCTGATGACAGTACCTGAGTCGAAGATGTTGCGATTGTCACCGGCAGGATCGAGACGAACCATTTGACACCATGCCCTTTATAGCTTAGTACTATGCAATCGTACGACAGTGTTCATAAAGAATGAAATATTACCTAATCAATACTGAGGGAGAGAAGAAAATTAGAGTTTTGTTTTAGTTAGCTGTCTTAGTAATACACACTATGAATATTAAATTCGACATGTAAATAATATATTATATAAAATAATTGAATAATTAATTCAAGTAAAAAGTAGTCCTTCAATTTTAAAAGTTATATCATTAAAACCTACATAGTTTATTTACGTTATCTTATTTCGTCGATTTCATCTACGAAATTATTAATAGATAATAATGAAGAAGTACGTAACACAAGGTCAATTGAGTTCTAAAAATAGACATCTCCTAAACTCCTTGTAGCATTACGAAGTGTGGCGCAAGTGAAACGCGAAGCTGCCTCCAAACCCCTGTTCTCTGCCCATTGATAATCGGCTTGTGATTATTCAATATGTGTATATGCTAGATGTTGGTATTCGATTCCTTTCCCCCCCAAAACACTGTTTGGATACTTATTCAAAAACTACACAGGCGCTATTGTCAGCCGATGCTTATTCCAGCAAAGGGACCAGCTGTCGGGCCTAGTCCGTAATGTCGAGTCCGTGCTACGATTCCGACGCATATCGCTTTGAGAGCTTGTGACAATGTCCTCCGAGCGGCCAGACGACGACCGGACGGTACGCCCGCCACCTCTGGTTTTACAAGGCGCCAATTCGTCCGATAACCACCGCGAGCCAACGAGGACGAATAACGAACCTGGACTGTCAACCTACTGGCACCCGTCGTATAGCTCGTCTTCTCATGATAGTATAAACTTCGATTCGCATATAGATCCTACGGCGCTGCAGGCAGCGCTTCCTCCTGATATTCCACCGCCTCTCTCGCAATCACCACACTTTGCTCCAGATTCATATCACCCGTTCGATGGAGGCTCGCAGTACATCGAAGAGTCAGCGAATCCGTACTATTCAGATTCTGATAGAGTTCCGCTTACGGCGGGAGTACAACCGATATCTGGCACCCATAACGAAGACGCTCACGGAATCCTTGCTAGGAGCAGTTTCCAGACTGTTCGCGATGACGACAACGCTCCAATCCGTGACCAAGAGGGAAAGAATTTTGGACATGGTTCGAATTCGGGTTATCTATCCGCTGGCCATCAAAGTTATGGGTTAACACTGGATCCTGGAGACTTTCGCCTATCGCGATCACCGTCTACATCTGGGGCCTTTCATCGCGCCGGATCAATTGTGAGGGCTATGTCCCAGAGAGTCGTGAATCTTAGCGGAGAATCAGATATCACCGACCAGGGATCTTCACGTTATCGCTCCCGCTCCCGCGACTCATCAAGTGAAAGACCGGCCAACCCAGCAACGACGACGTATGGCGCCGAATCGTATTATGGCCGACCGGCTTCTTCTCGGGAGGAGAAGGCTAGTCAGAACCTGTTCTTGACTACCGATATTCCACCTCGCGCCGCTCGCGCAAAACCTCTCAATCCCCTCAAGGGCAAAACATTAGGCATATTTTCTCCAGAGAACCGATTTAGATTATGGATGTGTGATATCCTGGTCAATCCATTTACTGAGCCCTTCATCTTAGTCCTTATCATCGCTCAAACGATTCTACTTGCCGTGGAATCCTGGCCAGACGTCTTCAGTCCTGGCAATGAGCGTTCAGAGCGATGGGGTAAAAAACCAATAGACTGGACTATGCTTGGGCTCTTTATCATATTCACATTAGAGATTGGTGCTAGAATTGTGGTTTCAGGGCTCATATTAAATGCGGCGGAATACAGTACCATTGATCGCAAAAGGGGCATCAGGGCAGCAGTTGAAGATCGATACAAAACCATTTTTCGGCCTGAGCGACAAAAGTCAACGAAAAGAGTTCGGTCAACTCAACCTCAGGCCCCTGCTTTTGCCCGCTCCTTTACAACCTTGATGCAGGGCCCCCAGACTGGTCCAAAGACGATTGAGGACCAGCAGCGCTTTCAACTGGCACGTCGAGCCTTTTTGCGCCATTCATTCAATCGCATGGATTTTGTTGCTGTTGTCTCTTTCTGGATTACTTTTGGGCTAAGTATCAGTGGAACTGAGAACCGACGCCATTTTTTTCTCTTCAAAATGCTGAGCTGTCTTCGCATTTTGAGACTGTTAGCTCTTACTCACGGCACTGCTGTAAGTGATAGTCTATTTACTCTGACTTGTTGTGATGGCATACTTATGCGACATAGATTATCCTGAGAAGTTTAAAGAAAGCGGCCCCTCTCCTCGTTCGTGTAGCGTTTCTTATCAGCTTCTTCTGGCTCCTCTTTGCTATCATCGGCATACAAAGCTTCAAATCCAGCCTTAGTCGACAATGCGTATGGTTGGATCCGTTAGATCCCACCAATTTGACAGCCTCATTCACCAATAGTATGGAATTTTGCGGTGGCTACTTGGATAATGCGACTGGAGCCACACGACCTTGGGTAAAATTCAGTACCCCCGGATCGCTAGACAACCTAGCCAGAGGAACTGCCGAAGGGAAAGGTTTCTTGTGCCCTAGAGGATCGATATGCCTGCAGCAGGATAACCCTTACAATGGAACAGTCAACTTTGATAACATCCTCCATTCCCTCGAGTTGGTCTTTGTCCTCATGAGTGCCAATACTTTCTCTGACTTGATGTATTACACTATGGGCTCAGATTACCCTCAAGCGGCTCTCTTTTTTGGCGCGGCAATCATGATTATGATGTTGTGGTTGACCAACCTGCTGATAGCCGTCATTACTTCATCATTTCAGGTCATTCGTGAAGAAAGCAAGTCGAGTGCCTTTACGGTTGAAGCCGAACCGTCTTCACAGTCGCACGCAGACGAGCGGAAACGGAAAATTTCGCCTGCACAAAATTTATACAGGAAAACCTCGTTCTTCTGGTTAGTTGTTGTTGCCTTTGCGTTACTCAGTGAAGCTTGCCGTAGTGCATCCATGTCACATACTCGAGAAAAATTTATCAACGCAGCCGAGATTGTTGTCACCATACTTCTTGATGTTGAAATCATCATTCGAACTGTGGCCTTTTGGCCTAGGTTCCATCGGAGTTGGCAGAACTTATTTGATTTAGCCTTGGCTATAATCACTTCCGCAATTCTCATTCCGCCTATTCACAATACTCGGGTGTATGCGTGGCTCACAGTCTTTCAAGTCCTTCGAGCATATCGAATTGTCTTGGCAATCCCTGTGACGCGAAAGCTCATCCTGCTAGTGCTGGGAAGCGCCGCGGGTATTGGGAACCTCATGCTGTTTGTGTTTTTGATGACCTTCTTGGTCGCAATCTTAGCTGCGCAGCTCTTCAGGGGACAAATCCCCGTTTATGACGATGACGGAAACTTGAATCGCATCTCATTCAACACCATATTCAACTCGTTTCTCGGCATGTATCAAATACTTTCCAGTGAGAACTGGACGGCTATCTTGTACTCGGTCACCTCTTATACCACAGCAACGAAAACGGCTTGGATTGGTGCAATATTTTTAATAGGCTGGTTCATTTTGTCATTCTTCATCCTGATCAACATGTTTATTGCTGTTATTCAGGAGAATTTTGATGTGTCGGAAGACGAGAAGCGCCTAGAGCAAGTCAAGGCCTTTCTTCAGAGGAAGGAACTTGGGCGTACGGCCAATAATCTTACGCTGTCGACCATTTTCAGCTGGGGGAAATCTCGCCGCCGCAAGGATCCATTGGACTATGGCCCAGGTATGATGGAGATGCTTCTCAAGGATACCGTGGTACAGGAGTTTTTAGATGATGAAGTGGCCGACCCTCTCCGTCTTAACCCAGAGCACAGAGGCCCACCGCAACGGAGCACGACGAGGCTGATGGGAGATGGTAGGCCGGGGTTTTTAAAGAAGATATGGTCCCGGATCCATAAGAGCGAGCCCAACCCCTTCTACTCAAATATCCGCTTTGACGGTCCGAATGGCACCTTGGACCCTCGACAGATGGCTCGGCAGGCAGTAACAGCAACGTCGGCTCGCCGTAAAGCCCAGCGAGATTATCTCGCTCAGTATCCACGATACAATACCTCGTTATACATTTTCCCTCCCAACAGTCGCATCCGGCGATTTTGCCAAAGTCTTGTAGGCCCAGCAAGAGGCCTTGAGCGCTTCGACGGTGTCGAACCTAACAGGATAGCCTGGTACACGATATCGACTTTCATCTACGCCTCAGTCTTTGCAATGGTTGTGATAGCATGTGTCACAACACCGCTCTATCAGAAGGAGTACCGAGATCACCATCCTGCTACTATGACTCAATGGTATATCTGGACAGACATGGCCTTTGCTGTCATCTTCACAATCGAGGCTATCATCAAAATAATCGCCGACGGTCTATTATGGACGCCCAATGCATTCCTACGTAGCTCGTGGGGTATCATTGACGCAGTTGTGTTGGTTACGCTATGGATAAATGTTGTGACGTTACTTATCGATGATGGTGCCATCTCGAGAGCATTGGGTGCATTTAAAGCCCTTCGAGCCCTTCGACTATTGAATGTTAGCGACAGCGCGCGGGACACGTTTCACTCACTCATCATAGTCGGATGGTGGAAACTTTTAGGTGTATGAAGAACACTGTATTCCATTGACCCTTACCAGAGATTGCTAACACTGTCATAGGCCGCATTCGTATCCATTTCTCTGTTGATTCCATTTGCCATTTACGGCTTAAATCTCTTCAATGGAGAGCTAGTGTCTTGCAATGATTCTGGCGACATATCTCTCCTATCCCAATGTTTCGGCGAATTCAATAGCACTCCTTATTCAAGCGATTGGCCGATTTTGGCACCAAGGGTGGCAGCAAATCCATATTTCAGTTTTGATGACTTCGGTTCGTCGCTCTTCACCTTGTTTCAGATCGTCAGTCAAGAAGGATGGGTGGATGTCTCTTTTGCTGCTCAAGCAATTGTTGGTCGCGGTATGCAGCCACAGGATGCGGCCAACCAGGG